TATATATATATATATAAACAAAGAGAGAGGGAGAGAGAGGAAGAGCCAGGCATGGCTACTAGGGCACAAGCAAGGCGGGCGTCAGGTCGGTGCCGGTGTGTAGAGGAGATGGAATCGGCGGCAGGTCATGCTAGAATCAGGTCAGCAAGCCAATGGTGAAGAGGTTGGTGACTGAGTCAGCTGGAATCTAGTTTGCCTAGTGGAGGCAGGAACCGGGAGTTGAGGTCGGCTAGGGCACTAAGGCTGGAGTCGAATTTGGTGGCTGAGTTCTGTGCGAAAGAGGAGGTTGGCGGCTGGAGATCAAGCAGCTGGAGGAGGAAGAGGAAGGCTCTGTTCGGTGGGTGTAAAGGAAACTGAAGCAAATCGGTGGTCTTCGGCTAAAGGAGATACGAACGAGAGTGCAAGTATGGGAGGTATGGGGCTTCAATTTCTTCTCATTTGTGTGCTTGAATGCTTATCTTTGGTTTTGTCGTGTGTGGGTTTTCTGTCGAGAGGAGTGGGGCGGTTGTGTTAGATCGTGGGTAGTTGGGGGTTTGTGAGGTGGTCAGCTGTTAAAGTAAATAAATACCCCTAACAAATATGATATGCGCCCTATAGCATATCATGTTTGTTGCAAACTAGTTGACCATACATATTTCTAACATTAAGTTTTAGATGTCACGTAGAGGGTCTTTTAGATATCCCTGATTTATGTTCTCAATTTATCAGGCATAAAACTTACCTTCTGCCCTAGCTTCATACTTTGGTGGGCTTGTTGAAGAAGTGTATACCGGTGACCTAAATCTTTTAGATTTATATTAGTTCGGTGGTAAATAGTCATCTGTCCAAAGCTTTATGTATGACGGACTTTTATACTGACAATATTCCCTTAGTTCGGCCAAAGACTTTATAAGAACTGCGGGATGACTTCTTCGGTCCTGAGCTTTGTGCTCTATCGACCATGCCAAAAAGAGAAGCTTCTTCGGTCTTAGCTTTGTGCTTGGCAGATTTAATGAAGGAATAATGCCTCCAACTTGATAAAAATTTTAGTTGTGGCTTGGTGCTTTTGAGTTGATTGAGAATCTTCTTTTAGATTTTGCTTCAATCCATTTGTTAGTTGAGAAAATCTTATGAATCTGAATTCCTTTGATTTGATAAATTTGACAAATATCAAACTTAACAGTATTAATCATTGGGCTAACAAAACAATGCTTTCCTACTACATCCTCTTATCATGACTTATTGAGTAGGTAAAACTGTCAGTGACTCCGTCGTCTATAAGCTTGTTAAGACTTATGTTATACATATTTGAGCGCTTAACTTATACTATAACAACTCATATTTATCAAATTTAATTTGTTAAAGTTATCATATCACAATGTCTTCTCAATATGAACTTTAAGATTTTGGCAAATTTGAAGGTGAATCTTCAATTTTTCCAATGATCATATATTTGCTTGCTTATAAGCCCTAGCTTCTACCCTGTATTTATATAGTGTAGCTTCATGAATGATTTTAAATATTTATTTGAGGATTGATGTTAACCCAAATAAATATTTAAAATGTTCGTTGTCTTGAAGAGAAAATTTAATTGTCATCAAATTTTGGCATTTTTAAAATTAAAAATGCCCCCTGTATTGTAGGAGAATTTCTAAGACAACTTAAAAATATTTTCTTTCTTTGCAAGGGAATGATCTTCAGCTTGCTTTCTTAAGAATGATATTTCTTCAGATATCTCCCATTGATGGGGGCATAGGTCGTCGACCTTCCATATTAATGAGTTGATAGGCTCCTCCCTAGTACATATTCTCGATGACAAAAGAGTCTTCCCAATTTGGTTCAAATTTATTACAAATTCTTCAGTGTGGGATAATTGGTCTTCTCAGCACTAGACCAATTCTTCTTCTTAAAATGCTCGATGGCGTACCATACGATCGAAATATTTTACCATTCTTGCTCGATAAAATTTCTATATTTTGTTGATCTTGGAGCCTAACTTCATCCTATGTGTAAATTAATTAAATTAAATAGAAAATATACTAATTAGTTATTTAGTTTTATAAATTATTAATTAATATTTATTTGAGATATTTTCTTTTAGTTATTAAAATTTATCTATTTAATTATACATTGTATAAGATTTTTTTAATTTATCAACCATAAATGATCTCTAAGTTTAAATCTATCACGTGAATTAGCAATCTAAAGGTTTTCGTTTTAGTAGATCTAAAGCCGAATTCATGGAGTGTAATTTTAGTAGTAATTGAGTGATCAAGTCATTAATAAGTGTGGTCATTTTAAATATCTTAGGTCTATTGTTCAGAGTGATGGTAAAATAGATGGGGATATTATTAGTAGAATTCAAGTTGGGGAGGAATGCTTCGGGTTTATTGTGTGATAGAAAAGTATCACTAAAATTTAAGAGAAAATTTTATAAGATAATGGTGAGACCTGCAATGCTTTATGTCGCAAAATGTTGGCCATTAAAAGAGAAGCATAATATTAAGTTAAGTGTTGCTGAGATGAGGATGCTCAAGTGGATGAGTCGATTTACTCTTAGAGACAATATTTAAAATGAGCATATCCGTGAAAAGGTTGGAGTAGCTCCAGTGACAAATAAGATTAGAGATAGTTGCATTAGATGGTTTGGTCATGTAAAACGGCGGCCTTCCAATGACCATGTTAGGAGATTAGATGTATTAGATTTGGCCTATGTTAAGAAAGGTAGAGGTAGACCTAAAAAGACTTGATTAGAAAATATTAGAAATGACATTTCTTTATTTGATTTAAATGAGAATTTGACCCTTAACAGGACACAATAGAGAAAAAAGATTCATGTAGCCGACCCCAAATAGTGAGATAAAGGCTTGATGTTGTTGTTGTAGTAATCGAGCTTCTTAAGAAGCTTGTTCACTAGTTTTAAATAATATTATTTATGATCAAAAACAAGTCAAGCGGCAAGGTATTCAAATTTGTTCATTTAATAACCAAGTTTTTATAAAAACATGCATACTTATTCAATTAGTTAATCAAAACAAATATGAATGATCATTTACAGAGTCAAGCCATGAGCAACTCGTCAAATACTAGGTTTATTTGCAGTGGTACCTCCCTCCCTCCATCCCTAAAGGCATGAGGTGCTCAGGAGGCACATTGCCTCGCCGAAATACTCAAGCATCAAGATGCTAGTACCTCAATAAGCATGATCTATATTGTCCTATATGCGTGAAGCGATTCTCACCTTACTGTCAGCAAATTAATCTGCAGTACACCTATTTGTCTTTTTATATTTACGAATCACAAGCATATAGATCAAATGATCTACAATACTCACAAATTAATTTTCCAGAGCAACTTCTCACCTCTTAATTAAGAAGGCTGAGAATGACGAAAGAACATAGAGCAAATCTACCTATAAAGCTCGTTATACTACGATCAAAGTGAGTGCCCTATTGCAAAAATTGGCACCTACCCAACTAGATGGACATACAACTCTTTGAGCCAGTATTTGAGAGAACTATCTTTATTGAGTCAAAACAACAAGCATCCACCGGCCTACTATTGAGAATCATGAAGAAATCCTGGAAGAGTAATGGAAAACTCACTCTGGTGAGAGGAATGAGCAGAGCGATCCACAGCTTGAAGCTCGAATAATATAATAAATAATTAAAACTAACTAAATAATAATTAAATAATTAATTGAACTATTAATAAGATAATTAGTTAATGGTTATTTCAGAAATATAATTAGCATGTTAGATATCAAATATATTATTATAATATTGACGTTAAATAAAATTGAAATAATAAGTAATTCGTATGTAACATATAATTCCATTCAAAGTACAAACTAACCATCCTAAATTCTAAATTAAATTGTCAAACTATTTCACAAAATTTACGAGTTAAATTGCTAAGTAGGTTTTAATATTTAACACCCAAGAATTTAATAAATACCTAAATTCTAAATTTTAAATTTATATATTTAATACATAAATTTCATTATTTACTCAGAAAATTTTAAATATCAATAAAAATATAACTTACATCCATTAATGTTTTGCAGGCTATGCATATTCTATCGTCACTTAATATGCACCATCCCAAAAGTAAGAGAGATTATCCTGTACAAAGTCCAAATTCATCCGGAGGTCAATCAGAACACGTCATATCATCTAATACATTATACATATGATGTAACACGATTGGATTAACCTCCGGACGCCTCCAGACTCTACACTAAATATTTTTTTTCCAAAAGTATGCAAGATATCTTCTCTTTTAATTCTTGAAACCCTACTTAACGAGAAATTATTATGTACGTACGTCGAACGCAGTACACTGTTCAAAGACCAATCAGAATACGTCACGTTAACAATACCAAGCACGGTACCGAACGGTGGTGACTTAACGCATTATGATTGATCTCTAAACGAAGTTCAGCTTCCGCGCAAAATAATTTGCCCTACTTAACATAGTATAAGAAAGTGAGGATGTAACTTACTAGTACAACGCACCCATGAGACTGACATAAATAAAATTATTCAATTTGACTCATAATGATCTAAAATATCATGCGCGCAGTCAATAATCTGTACGGCTATAGTAATTTCTATTTAATCCACATTAGCTACAATTATTTTATCAAATACAAGAGCAGCACACACACAAATATGCGCATAATAAAAACAACAATTTCATTCACTGTTTATAATTATTAGCTTCTATTGGCACAAATAGACAGTCATTTCTCTTAAAAAACAACTTATAATTCGATTTGCCACATTTAATGCTCTATCTGTATAGATCGTAATTCATGGAGATTCAGAGAGATACGAGTCCTCATATCTGCTCTTAGACGTGCATTTTTATAGCTAAATGAGTATGCTTTCTTTAAAGCCGAGCCTTTCCTCGTTCAACAGCAGCACTCTGCAAGGTAGATTACATGAGAAGAAGAAAAAATGCTGCAGGAATTAATCATTAGAACTTTGTAGGTGATGTTGTGCTGAAAACATTTGGGGTCAAAATTCTAATTAACGGTCTGTTTGAAACAATCTTTTTACAATTTTATTTTTCAAACGACAGTCTTACAGTCATAATTCTTTCTGATTACTATTTTCAGCTATTTTTTATAAAATTTCTATGCTAGTAAGATGTTTTTAATAGCAACTTTCAAGAAAATTATTTTTCTCACATTAATTTTATAATCATTTTTATAAAATACTACAATAGTCTCAAGCATGTCATGATTTTTTTATTGGAATGAGAATCAAAATTAATAAATCAATTAAAGATTTTCCATCAATCTCAAAATAAATTTAACAATTTTAAGATCTATCCTTAAACCAAAAAAAAAAAAAAAAATTCTAAGATATCTGAATCAAATTTTTCCTATTGTGATAAATGGTATCGTGTTGCTATGTTGCCCATATAAGGTCATCTCCAACCGAACGCCAAACATGCGAATGGCGTCGTTTAGTCGCTTCAATCGAATGCCAAATCTTCCACTATTTGCTTGCGGGTGAGCAGTGCGATGTCAATATTGGTATTGCACTGTTCACCTACGCGAATTTTCTATCTCAACAAAATTTGTCGAAGAAACACGCCAAAGAGGAGAAAGAAAGTTATCTTCGCGGAAGCCAGCAAAATGGAGTACGATTAGAGATGAATCACGGCATTTTTTTAGTTTCACTGCATTTTGAAGTGAAAAATAGAATTTTCGGTTGGAGATGCCCTAAATGAACTAAAGGGCTGACTAATAAATGTGTTCGAGATGCCCTAAATGAACTAAAGGGCTGACTAATAAATGTGTTCTTCGAAGTCATTAAATAATAAAATGTATGTAGAAATGATAAGTTTCTGAAAATATTTTTTTCACAAATCAAATTTGTACTTTGGAAATTAAAGCCTCGTACCAGTGGACTGCCCTTAGCAGCACGTTCTGTCAGATAGGAGCATGGCTTGAAGAAATCACCATATCTTTTAGTCCACTCCTCTAATCTCTTGTGGATGTAACTTGCTCCAAGAGTGTCGGCCCAGAAGATGATACCACCTCTGTAGCCAAGGATTAACATCCAAGATTGTTTGAAGTTAGAAACCATGTCCGGAAAAACAAATTAGTAATAGGAATTTCAACTTAAACAACATCAACAACAACAACAACAACAACAACATAAAGCTTTTGCCCCACTACGTGCGGTTGGCCACATGAATCCTTTTTCTCCATTGTGTCCTGTTAAAAGTCAAATTCTCATTTAAATCTAATAAAGAACGATCATTTCTAATATTTTCTAACCAAGTCTTTTTAGGTCTACCTCTAACTTTCTTAATATAAATCAAACCTAATACCTCTACTTTCCTAACAGAGTCATCGGAAGGCTGCCGTTTTATGTGTGACCAAACCATCTAAGGTGACTCTCTCTAATCTTATCACGTATATGTTGATCAAAGTTCCTAAAAAATGGGATCTTATTTTCACACTCAATTAGTAAAAAAAAAAACCATTAATTTCTAAAATAAAATTTTCACGTACAAGCGACCAAACGAGCCGTTAGAGAAATCAGAAATATCAAAGAATGTAGAAAAAGAAATCATTGATAGAAGCCATGAACCTGTATGGAGGGAACCCCATGCCCATGATAGAAGCGATATCAAGATCCGATGCCTTGACAGCAATACCCTCGTCAAGAACTCGACAAGCTTCGTTCACAACAGGAAGAAAAACCATTTCTACAATTTCTTTATCTGAAATCTTCATTAACTGCATTAAAATACATGAATCATGGAATGAGGAATCAAATGTCAAATGTTAATTAATCAATGCATTGTAAAAGAGAGCAGATTTTTAATCACACAATCTTCATAATGCTTGTTAAACAGTCATACAAATGTCAATTCAAACAACAAGAAATAAAAAAAGTTTGTTCATTAATACTTAAAACTAATCATTACCATCTGCCTCCTAATTAGATGTTTTGGTCACATGATTCATTCACACTCTAGGGGTGTCAATTTCAGGTCACGGGTCGGATTCGGATCGAACCTGGGACTAACCCGGCACTATTCAGGTCAACCCGAATCCGACCCATTTTTTGCAAACCGCTTCGGGTTCGACAGCGGCAGAAATCACGTAACTCCGGCGCTCGGCAACGGCATTGCGGGGAGCGGCAACCCGCGACAGCGGCAGCGACTAGTGGGAAGCAGCATTATGAATTCGCAGGTAGATGCGACGGCACGACGAGAGGCAAGCGATGTGACGCGTGGCAGGCGATGCGACGTGGGCAGGCTATGTGGGCAGCCGGGTCATTTCCAAGTTTTCGGGTCAACCCGAACCCAACCCGATTTTTGAAACATGCCAAAAACCTTAAACCGAACCAGATTTCAGGGTTCGGGTCAACCCAAACCCGAAATTTCCAGGTCGGGCTCGGGTCGGGCTAAATATTGACACCCCTAATTCAATCATAAGACTTTTTAAAGATAAATATTACATCCCTAAAAAAATAATAAAAAAAAAAGATAAATATTACAACCCAGGAAAATGGTGACCTCTCATCATAGGGTTTCTACGAACACAGAACACAGGAATTCGTAATAAATAAGTTATCCTAATGTAACAATGTCAAATAAGAAAATTCCAATGCAGGAAACTTGGATGAAGTGAAAGCATGGCGATGAACAAAACAGGAAGTAGGTTGACAGTCAAAAGTATTAATAATTTCCCCAGTTGTGCAGTGTAGCATGCTCAACAATTCTGCAAGCATTCCCCAAAACAAGACGCAGATCACCAAAGCTTACCTCAGGATCAACTGTAACACCGGCCATTTTCCTCGATTTTTCAATGTACGTGTTTATTTCAGGGTCAACAGTAGCTTTCCGCCTATTGTCATATTTGTAGAACCCCTTCCGAGCAGCTTCACCTGTAAAGTGCCGAAACCACATATAAAATCCCAGGCTTAAAGGAAAAAAATATACCAATTAAAGCATTGTCATAGCCAAACAAAATGATCATGAAGGGTCTTCTACACATCGAACTACATTTACCTGATCGCTTATCCTCAAGCATGAGTGACAACAGCACCGATTTGTAGGACCTATCAGGGAAACTTTGAAGATATTGCATGCCAGTAGCCACTCCAACCCCAAAGCCAACAAGATCAATCATTCTGTGTATATAGCATAGTAATTGCAGTCACTTACTTAAAATAAGACAAAAAATTATGGTCTGGCAAAATAATCTAACTAAGGCTTTGTTTGGGACGGCTTTCCTCCTGCTTCTTAAAGCAATTTTTTAGTTAAAAAATTTTAACTTTTGTATTAAAAAGCCGCTTTAAGAAGCAGTAGGAAAGCCGTCCCAAACGAAACCTAAGGCTTCGTTTGGGTCACAGCTTTTTTATTGTTTCTTGAAGCAGCTTTCAAGTAAAAAAATTTTAATTTTTGTACCAAAAAACTACTTTAAAAAGCAGAAAAAAAGTCATCCCAAATGAAACCTAAAACATGAAATGAACAACCGTTCTGTTTGGCAATAAAAACCAAATACCTGAAAGGGCCGATAGGCATTCCAAACTTAGTACATGCCCTATCGATCTTGTAGACATCTAGACCCCTATCAACAAATAAGAGTGCTGACTGAGTGTAAGGAAAGAACGTCCGGTTGACTGCGAAACCAGTACAGTTTCCAACAACTATTGGTGTTTTGCGAATTTTCTTCCCCAAATCCAGCAAGTCCAAAACGACCTGTGGAGAGGTTTTATTGGTACGCACTATTTCTAGAAGTGGCATCACGTGAGCAGGACTGGAGCAAAATCATTATTAATAACCCATTTATGAATAACAACGGCATCCAAATATAACAACTAACACGTATTACCTAAAGAAATGAGCTCCAACTATTCGGTCCTGAGAACTGGTTTTCTCTCCTATCAAATTCAAGTCTATCGTTGAAGTATTACTAGCAAGGATGCAATGTGGAGGGCAGTACTTTTCCAGATCAGAAAATATCTGCTGCTTCAAAGATATATTCTCTATAACTGCCTGCAGTGGCAATTATGGAGACCAAAAATTAAATTGAAGGGAATCCATGGCAAGCAACATTACCAAGGTGGAAGGAAAAAAATTATCAAGTGTTAACACTGGCCTCAATTACAATGTCCACGTCTCTAAAACTCTCATAATCAAGAACTCCTTTTACGAGTGAAAGAGTCTTCTCAAATTTTTCATCAGTCATTTTCCCTTTCTTCACACGACTTTGCAGATTGGCTGGAACAAAAAAAAAATCATCAAATGGAAAATCTCCAAATTAACCAGATAAACTACCAGGAACCCATTCCAGCACATGTTCATATCATGTTTACCTTTGATCCTATCGATTCCAGCTTTTAGGAAGTCTTCATTTACTTCTTTAAGAATAACTGGATAATTGCTCATTATCAATGCAGTTACAATTCCAGAGCCCATCAGGCCTCCGCCAAGAATAGCAACTTTTTGTGTTTTCCTAGGTGTAAGACCTAAGTCAGTGATACCAGGTACCTGTGGCAAGTATGAGAGTTTTACATTTCAGTTGCTTGAAATTTTGTTACAAGCTATAAATACATATCATAAGAATTTTTTTATTGAAAAACCATCGCCATTTAGTTTCTTAATGAAAATAAAAAAAGTCACCATTATAGTTTTTTGTTGTCTATATCCCTACCAATTTTTATATGCCATGTACAAAATTATGGCTTATGCAGATATTTAAGTGAAATGAATTGGTATTCCATTGATCAAACTTTCCTGATAACTAGTTCTCTTTTAGGCTCCATCAGATTAAGATAAGTAGATAAGATACTTGAATTTTTATGTGAGCATATGTAGGCCTTCTCTTGTGGGTATAGAATGTTCTCCTTACTCACTTTCACGTTAAATTGAAAGCTAAAAACCATAGAAATTAATTGAATCCTTTCTTTTGATTAAATATAACAATGCTTTTTAAGGTTAAATAAGCAAAAGTCCATGATGCTTGGGCGCATAATTACATTGAAGTTTTTTTAAATTCTCCATTTTTGTCGCTCGCATATTTGTGAAACCATTTTCATTAACAAAATCATTAGTTACAAGAAAATTGATATAAAATCCCTGCATTTCCCTCCATTTTTGTTAATTTAGTGAAAAATGACAAAAATATTACTGCAATTTCCCACCATTTTCTCCATCTTAAGATTTAAGGGCAGACAATGACCCTCCTCCTTCCCTCCCAAACGTCCCCAACATTGGCAATCTCACTACAGCTGACAAGTCCCCACACTTTCTTCCAATACAAAAATTTTCACCTCTACCAATCGTGCTCCATTGATGAAACAAGGTGATAGAAGCCCATATCTTACCTTATTCTTCCTCCTCTATTTCTCCAACATCACCAGAGTCAATATCCTGAGCCTCAATCACTTTATCGTTAACCACAAGCTTGCATCCCTCCAAAAGCTTTCACATTCACATACCAAAAACCATTTTTCCAAGCAGATTTCGGTGACATTGTGTACCTTGAGGCATGCTTCAGAAAGAGATGGATGCAAAGTGCCTTAAAGCTATAGCTTCACATGGGGAAAAGAAATGTACACCCCAAACAAGTGAAGTATGTCTACACCCTTATTTTTCCAATTTTTGATATGTTGAGCAAAAAAAATACCAAGAGATGAAATCACTTGATTACGGATGAACTCGTTAATTTGTATAATATATTAGAAGAGATTAAGATATAGACATTTGAGAGAAAAAACTTAGGGGTGATGAACATTTTCTGATTATTGATGATGTGTCATCGGCCGATGAATTGTTTATAAAGGACGAAAAGAAAGTTTCTCTACACAATTATATGAGGAAGTTCTCAATTTGACCTTTTTTAAAAAAAAGAATAAGAATAGAAAAAGTTAACATGCAAAAAATATAGATGTAGGTATAAATATAAATTATAAAATGTCAATATAATTATTGATTTAAATAATATTCTTATTGAATTTTATAGATTAGAGAAGAGGAAAGTGATTGAGATTGATGATAATAAAGAAGATTGGGAGGATGTTGATACAAGTGAAAATGAGGGAGGCAAGAGAGTAATCAATTACAATGATGATTCTAATAAAGATGCTCCAAGTGATGGAGAGAGAGTGATTTTTTAGATTTAGAATCCTAAGTCAAAACTATTTTATGTTATGACATGTTTACTAGTTTGGTTTAGATATTATTTTAATTACAAGTGTTAAAATACTTGCATATTATTGAGTGCTTTAATGTTTTTTTATGATGCTATATTATGTTTTAAAATAATTAATGTTAAATACTTTAATTTTCATTTTTTATTTATTTAATTATTTTTATTTTGCAACTTATGTCTCAACTCACAACAAAAAATGCCACAATACCCAATTGTACAATTTTAGGAATTGGTTTCTATAAATAAGAATGAATGCCATATAGATGCAAAAAGTAAGCAAATGATGCTGCGAAAAGAATAAAAAAATATAAATTAACAAATATTAGTTTGACTTAACCTTAGAAGTAGCGCGTTGTGCAAAGAACACATGGACCAAGCTCTTGCATGTGTCAGAGGTAAGAAGATGCTGAAACGAACTGGCTTCCTAAAAAACGATGTGTAAAGAGGTCAGTGGGTCCTCGAAAATGATCATCCTGTGAATAGGAATTTAGATGAGAAATATGTACCTTACGAAGTCCAGCTAGAGGCCCTGATACTATGCCTTCTTCTATGACATCAATGCAAACCAACGGATGCTGGAGATTCGCAGCTTGCTTTTGAGCTTGAGCTCTGGCAAACTTTAGAATTTCCCTGGCCTCTCCTAGTGATTCCAATTTATCAGTTTTAAAAAGGCTCCTTATCCACGGTCTTTTAAATTCAACAATATCCAAAGCCCATCGTCTAGCAGTGATGACCAATTGATCAGGTGGAACAATGGCATCAACAAGACCCAATGAATGGGCTTCTTCTCCTTTAATTGACTTGGACAACTGACATGCAATAGTCAACATAAGATTATACTCCAAACAAGAGTTTACATAACCTCAACAAACATGGGAAATTGTTTACATAATAAGCCACTTTACCAGGATCATTTCAAGAGCTTTAGTAAGGCCCACAAGCCGTGGGAGTCGTTGAGTTCCTGAAATAAGACAAGTTGCTCACACAAGATGGTTAGACAAATGGAAAGGTCAAGTACGTGTTTATGCAATTTAAAGAAGAGTTCAGTGTTTTTGTTTTATTCTTTCATAAAATCCAAGAGGCTCTTTTAGGATACACAATAAAACTAACCATCAAAAGTAGATCTAAGCATAAGTAACGCTGCCCCAACAGGTCACTTTGGCCAAGTTTCGACAGCCATTAGGGGATTCAATTAATAAACTTAGCCCCTTGCTTGAATGCCGACATTTAGCACGCCTCAATCACAATGCACGGTAGGATCATTTCCGATGGATGTCAGCAACATGAGGCATGCTTATCTCGCCACATCAGTATGATGAAACCAAATAGACCCTCATTAAAATAAGAGGTATTGCAAAACATTTGGAACTTAATTAAATTTTGTTGTACAAAAATTGTCTTCCATGAAAAAATTTTTAGGTATAATTTTTATTTCTGAAAACTCGATCTACTACCATTACTTGCATTAGCTCTACATGAATCCCCCATACCCCATCTTAATCAGCCACTGCGTTCCAAGCCACTTCAAACTCTCTTTATCCTATCTAACTGTATAAGCTAACCCTGTCAAAGAAACTATCCAAAATAATTCTCAAATCGAAAACAAGTAAATAAAGTAATTGTTGTTTACATCAAATAAGGTTGAGTAAGCTCTTAAAAGGTACCTCCAAAGCCTGGGATGACACCAAGTTGAAGCTCAGGCAAGCCTAACTGAACATTTGAAGTGGAAATGCGTGCATGGCATGCCTAAAAATTCCAAGAAAGGCATTAAAAAAAATCATATTCTTAGAAACAAATATTTTCAAAGTTCAATGATAGCATCACTCAATATACCATGGCAATCTCTAACCCGCCACCAAGTGCCAGGCCATCAATAGCTGCTACTGATGGCTTTTTTGCACCTACTAAGCAAAAAAAATACTGTTATATTAAAATACTTGTACATAGAGAGAGTTCAAAATACAGATATTTTGAAGTTCAATAAACCACCTTCCAAGGTGTTGGTAACAATTTCAATGGAAATAAAGTCTGCATTAGGTTGTCCAACTGAAAGAATAAAAAATTAACGTTAATAAAGCAAAAAAAAAAGAAAAAAAGTCTCCAATTAAAAGTTTTAATCTTACTCTTTCCCCCTTGAATTGCACTAAAAGCACTGATATCGAAACCTCCGGAAAATTTCCCCCTAGAACCTGCTCAATACTCAAAATAATAAGAAATAAAGTAGAAAGACAAAAGATAAGCAGATACAATTACAAAGGTTACCTGTGACAACAATTGCTTTCACATCATTTCTTTTCAAAGCTTGTTCATAATTGTCTTTCAGACTGTACAATACTGAAGAAAGAAAAAAAAAACATAAAAAAGAGACGCCTTTAGTAACTAAAAACTATTGCAGGATGAAAAGCCTTAAAGGATGATCATAATTTTGTCAGGTAATTGAATGAAATTGAAAGAAAGCAATGTAGCAAGCGGAAAACTGAAAATGTATTTGAAGAACGTTTTATATATGATTTAATAAGCAAGCATGTTTATCTAAATAAACACAGCTACAAACCTTCCCCAGAAACAACGCTAGAAAAAACAAATCAAAATGTCATGGAGTAGGTTCCTCTTTTTAATATGTGAGAATTTTGACAACTATATATATATATAATCAGAATATATATTGTTCATGCAGAATACCAATAAGATACATTTGATTGGCTAAGAAGATTACATAAGGAATGGTCAAAGGTTATCAAAAAGGTTAGGATATTATGGTGACTTTGCTTGGCTAACCAAACCATCTAAAGCTGCTTAGAAAGATATGAAAGATTGCCCTTTATTTAAAGGGACTTTTAAACCCTCTAAAGACGAAAATGTTGCTGCAATAGGAAATGTGGTGAAAAAAAAAATCCATGGATACCTATAGGGCTGCAGCAATCACTGGCACTTAATAAACAATTCTTTCTGAACCAATAAAGAACATCAAAATGGCTAATGTAATTGTACTGAAATTAAAAAAAAATAATTTAAAGGCCATACTTCGTATGCACAAACTAAAATCATCGGGCTTCACCGAACTAAATGTTAAGTGATGTTAGTTAGACGGAAGATGAAGTGGTGATGATGAGGACATCGCCAGCATTTTCGACGCCGGAGATCGACGGCCACGAGCATGACTTGTATTTTGTCATTTATGTAGTAGCGTATTTTATTTTGATGTTCTTCCGCTCTTGCCCTTATGAGCATTTAGTCGCTTATGTAGCCCAGAAGGGCATTTGTGTCATTTCTTATTTTTTTCATTTTGGCCTATTTATATGAGGCCTCATGCATTGTAATTTCAGTTTTTGATGAATGAAAATTTGCCTCTTATGTTCTCTTTGTGAGTTCAACAATCTCTTAGTGAGTTCGCCGGAGAAAACTAGATCTCTTAGTGAGTTCTAGTTTTCGAATTATCTCATCCTGTGGAAATTCAAAGTGAATATATTCAAGGTTAACAATTCTGTGGTGGTCCAAATCCCTAGATCTTGTTTTCTCTCCTCCTTTCCCTGCATTTGTTTTCGTTTAGCCTTGGCCTGATCAAACCTCCGGCCACTTTGGCTGCCACCCCGCCGGCCAAGCCTTTCTCCAGGCTTTGGCCATCGATCCAGAAAACCCCGTGCAGCCATCCCCCCTCCTCCTTACCGATTCTCAACTCCACAGCCAGCAGTCCAAGCCGTGAGCTTTTCTTCCCCAGATCCCCGAAATCTCACCTGCAGCCTTCACCGCCGTTTCCCTCTGATTTTCCCAATCCGTGGAATGTCAACAATTAATGCTAGATTAATTGCTTAATCCATCAGCCTTTTTTCAGAATTTGGAATTTTGCTCTACCCTTGGCCTTCTCCACCTAAGTCGATCGTCTCCCCTCTTTGGGTTTCGAGCTACCTATCCACGAACGACGATCTAAGGGTCCTTCTTCCTCGGAGTGGCCTCGGTTCTAATGTGGAGACGCTTCTTCCGCTAAAGCCTAGATTAGTGAGCGTATGGGCTCTAAAGGTGAGAGTTCTCTTTATTAATTCGTGGATTCTTGTTTACTGTCGTAGCGTACAATTATTCTTTGCATTCTCTTGAATGGATTGGTCAATCGAATGTCGCTCTTCGTTGCCTAAGCAAATTAAAACTAAGAATCCTTAAGTTCACTCTTTTATTACAAATGATAACTTTAATTTGGATTACTTTGTTCAAATTGCTCTCTATAATTTTCTAAAGTAACTCCATCGCATGTACGTTTCACATCAGGTGAGTAAGCAGAGAGAAAGTAAAACAACTTCAGCTGTGGCTGGGGAAGTAATTTTGTTGCCCAGGAAGTGATGTATAAATGTTTTGGTACTGGTCAGCCTCAAGAGGATAAAAATTACTCTAGGGATAAGAGGTTGATCTTCCCCAAGAGTTCACATCAACGGGAAGGTTTGGCAGTCACTTGGAAGTAGCTAAATCTAGCTTCTAATATTCTGCAGTCGCTTGGAAGTGGCTAAATCTAGCTCACCTACCAGTAAAACCCTTGCACCATTCATGCACACAGAGATACATACATTATACATAGATAATGTATATCCATCCACACAAAAATCTAAATATTCAAAAAAATAATAATGGGATAAAAGAGGCATGGCATATATATTATTACATAATAAATGATCAAACTTGATAAATTAAAACAAAATGATTTTAAAGTATATTATTTGATAATGTCATATAACATTTAATAATTATATGCTTTGTAAAATTTAGAACAGAGTAATATGATAAAATAAATCTACCACATAAGTAGTCATATACTACATATGGTAACATCATTCACGGTCTGTATATTGTATATACTGAAATGTACGCCATTATATGTAGCTGGTCGTATGTGTATTTTTGCACATGTTGATTCTTTTGCATTCGCACAAACAAAATGCATATTGATAGGACATGGGGGTAATTTTATAAGTCGTACAACCAAACAACAGGAAGCAAAAAGCTCCACTTCCTCATGGACAGCCAAAAGCTTTTTTCAAAGTGGTTTTGATACAGCATTGTCAACCAATTGGTTCTGACAAACTTGATTTCTCATTGGCTAACTCCAAGGAATCAAATACTTTGGAACCATACCGATTTTCATGTATTTCTGGTGGCACATTGTCATTTATAACCGATTTTACATAAATTTATCTAATTTTAAATTACTTTGAAATTTATAAAGATAAGCATGCCTCATCCTTGATTGGGAATAAAATTCTTTACAAATATGACTTCGTGTTTATGGAATTCCATTAATGATTCACTTGCACTATCGCAGTCAAACCAAGCAACAAATTGGTTCTCGTGTCTTTTTCATTATCGTTTATGGCCTGATTTTATTGTTTGTTTTAAATTTCAAATTAATTTTAAATGTGATACAGATAAGGATGCCCCACCCTTGGGACAAACCTCTTTATAAACAGCCCCGCATGTGCCTGAAATTTTATTATTGATTTGGCTATTAAAGTTATGAACAATTCCCATTAACTTTTTTTTGGCTTTCTAGTTTTTTCCCCAAGAATTTGACAACCCGATGTCTTAAGCATTTGACATCACCAACTTCATGATTCATTGTTTAGTATATTTTAATAATGTTTTCTTTCCATTTTCATTTTGATCGTTCACTCTATTGTGTATACTACATCAACTAGGTTTTAAAGCCAGATGTTTTGATATCTCTTTCATCAATTTTCCTGATTTTTTTGGCCTTGTTTTCAATAATTTTCTATAGTTTCCACTTATTTTCATCAATTTTTTCAGTTTTGTTCTCGTCCCACATCCATATGCTCTTCCCTCTTCACATGAAAAAAAATGGTAATTGTACTTCAACATACCATCTCTCTCCTTGCATCCTCTTTTTATCTCCTCTTGTTAGCCTTTTTCTCCCACGTTCATTGAATAGAAGAAAATTTAAAAAAATCAGTAAAGTTTCTCCATTGCTGCGCCCCCTCTTTTCTCTCTCTATCATCTCATCACCTAAATTCCCTCGACTATTCATAACATATCTCAACAACCATTTAAACAAAGTCTGATTTTTTATAAATCTGTGCATATTATCTCCACAAAAATAAGCTACCTAAAATATTTAATGAATCCTAAAATCTTTCTACAAAATTAGCTACCTAATTAAATTTGATTCAATTAAATACTCCTAATTGTGCCTACGAACGGATCTAAAATTGAGGTTCCGTGTTGTCATACATAGAAATTCCAAGAAATTCATAACTACTGCTATAGCTGAGAGTGAAGTTATCATTTCCATTGAAAGTTGATACTTTTCTTTTGTTAATTTGCAAATTTAGTGCCTGCATGGCTTATTGCATCAGGAAACTTCACTTCAACTACCCTGATATTAACTTGGGTTTGAAAGCTGCTTCAAATATTTATTTTCTAGAGTTGAGAGAAACCTAGATTGAGCAATTGATCTTCTAGACTTTTAGGTTGGTGATAATAAAAGATTTTGGCTAGGAATACATTAGACATGAAGAATTCTGCAATCCTGTAAGATGATATGAATGTTAAACTAAGTGATAAGTAGGTCGCCTACATATACATCCATAAAAACTGATAAATCTGATGCAAGACGATAAAGTCAATAAAAAATCATATTAATTTGAAATTTGATTATAGATGTGATTTATAGGAAAAAGCATGGTTAGTGACATCCAGATTTATAAATAGTATGTGCCTTGAAATTAACTCAAAAGTATGACTTCTTGAAACAAGGAATATAGATGAAGCTCATCCTAAAAACTTAGAAGTGAAAAGGAGGTTGTGTATTTCCTCTATAAATAATAACAATCACTCTATAAATAATTTCCATTTGAGCTTGACTTATCATATAGCCAATTAAAAAAGAAAAGTACAGAGAATGAAGACACAAATATCATATCTATCAAAACACAAATATCATATATATCCAAGTGAGTCAATTTCCATGAGCAAATGCTTCCCAAAGATTTAAGCCGCGCTTCATTTACGAGCCCTCGCTCGTACGAAAAACTTAATCAAACGGCGCCGTTTTAATATAAACAGTCAGAAGAAGGAAGCCCTAACTTGACCAAGTTACACCAGCAAACGGAAGCCCTAACTTGAGGCAAATTATTGGGTCAGGTGACCGGAGGCGAAAAATAAGTTCGGACATCCAATAAAAATTTGTCGCATCAGCTTGCGCTTTAGTTGCGCTTTTTTACTTGCGCTTTAGTTGCGCTTTGGTTGCGCTTTAGTTGCGCTTTGGTTGCGCTTTAGTTGCGCTAATTTTAAAATAATATTTTATTAATATCCGGACCCATCTCTGCGTTCGGTCACCTGACCCAATAATTTGCCCTAACTTGACCAAGTTACACCAGCAAACGGAAGCCCTAACTTATAACTTCTCAAACGCGGCCTAATTCATCATGGCAATCACGCCACGGATCAAGATACAAGCATAAAGGAAAACTCTGCTGAGAATTGAAGCATCTGAACTAGATGCTCGAATGAGATCAATTTTTTTATAGAGCCAGAGAATAGCATCTACCCAACCTTAGACTAGTGAAGAACATAATGGCCAAAACACTAAATCAAGCCCTGGATTACATTCAATAACTCCATGACTTCAATATGAGACGAAATTTTACCGACAACAAATGAGAAATGCCCTAGGAACATAGGTGAAGAAAAGGAGGCGGCATTACCGTCGATCGAGAGGGAATTCACAGGAGGATTAACAATGGTGATAATGGCCACGCCATCGGCACCCACCTCAATCGTCGTCCTCCCTTTCTCCATTATTCTTGCTCTTTCCGCCTCTGTCTTCCAGCTCGAAGAAGGCGAACTAAAAGACGACTACTAGCTACTTCATCCGGTACGGGTAGGAAACTATAAGAAACTCAGCAGAGCTGGTTACGTGGCGGCATGGGCAAAGTAATCAAGAGCGGTCGCATAGGCTTAGACCACAAAGTTATATTAAACAACAACTACGACAACATCAACTCTTTTATCTCACCTAAGAGTTTACATCAATTTATTTTATTTATTATGTTCATTTAAGAATTAAATCTTTATTTAAATCTAATAAAGAAAAATCATTTCTAATATTTTCTAACCAAGTCATGCTTATACCTATATAAATATATGAATCTAATATATGATGCATATAGTGAGATATATGAATTTGTGAATATACAAATTTTACTCAAACATCCAATAGCCTTATATATACATATATGGCCTAGACAATTAAGAGTTAACATGTTATGGCAGTGAAAACACCACCAAAATATGCCCACTAGTGACGACAGCAAATTTCTCACATGGCCCATGATTGAGCTTGGCAGAAGCACTTTCTCTCATAATAGTTTTTGTTATTAATTCCAATATATATACATGTACTGTTGACGAAGAGGCAACAAGGAGAAATAAGAACAGTTGAAATTCTTCTTCTTTGTTTTCACTGACCTTGGTAGCTAACATTCCTCTTGTAGATAGTTAACATTCTTCTTGCATATTTTTTTCATGGTATCAAAGTTTCTATAAGCCTCACAACTCTTCTCCCTCAATGGTTCTTCATTAGTAAAATGGAATTAGGAAACTCCTCTTCTGCCGAGAGTATCATCGATAATTCTCTGCTCGTTGGAACAACTACAATCCCGCCTCAATTAAAGTTTTTAATGTCTACCATTGAGAACATCATTATCGTCCAACTTACTCCCGAAAATCAACTCACATGGCGGTCGCAAGTCTTGAAGGTGTTTCACACCAACAATTTTGAGGGTTACCTGGATGGGACTGTTCGTCGCCCTCCCCGTTAAATTTCTTTGGATACTGGTACCGTAATACCCAACCCATTATTTTCAACCTAGATGTTGATTGATCAAAACTTAGTTGTAGCATTATTTTCCACTATTTCGGCACCTCTGTTATCGTATGTCCTGAATCTGGATTCCTACTTAGAGATTTGGCAAATGTCTGCAATCTTCAAACTGATCTCGCATTCTCCAGATTAAGAACGATATGCATTACATTTCTATGGCAAACAAGACAATGCAATAGTATTTAACTGAAATCAAGATGAAGGTCGACACTCTTACCACTACCGGATGTATTTTGGACTATGATGATATGATTATATACGCATTGAACGACTTGCATACCTCGTATCAGGCATTTAAAATGGCTATTCGAATAAATCTCCAGCCGCTAAACCTTGATGATTTTTACTCTTTATTATGTAGTGAAGAGACAAACCTTAAAAATAAGGCTGCACAAGCACTCATTACATTCAGATATCTAAAACTCCAGTTGCACTTGCTACTACTCCAGGTCATGGCTCATTCAGGCCTTCATTCCGCACTGCTCGCTTCCAGCAAATCCAAGTTGGCAACGGACAGTCACTTCCCATCTCTCATACGGGTCAAGGGATCCTTCCTACACATAAACATAAGCTTTTTCTTTCACCTCTTCTCCATGTTCTTAAGGTTTCTCACAATCTACTTTCAGTTCACCGTCTAACCTTTGATAATGCTTGTAATGTTTCTTTCACACCTCATGGATATAACATAAATGATCAGAGAACCAACCGCTTGATTATCTCGGGTCTTTGCCATGATGGACTTTATTATGTTGCAATTCTGTCTAGATCGTCCTCACAAGCTCTTTTTACTACTACCAGTTCCTCTCCGTGGCATGCTAGATTGGGACATCCACATAAAGCCATCTTATCTAGTATAGCTTATTATTTTCCATCTTTAAAAATTTTTGTATCCACTGTTGTATGTCATCCATATCAAATAGCAAAAAGTCATAGGTTACCATTTCTTAGTTCTAACTCTACATGTACTTCTCCTTTTCAAGTAGTCATGTATGATGTATGGGGTCCTTCCCCAGTTTTATCATTTAATGGATATAGCTATTATGTCTTATTTATGGATGAGTTTTCTTATTTTTCATGGATATATCCAATGGTTACAAAAGTTGAAGTATTTTCTAAATTTGTTCTATTCAAAGCTATGGTTGAAAAACAATTTTTCACTCCTATTAAAAAATTTCGATCTGGTGGAGATGGAGAATATACAAGCTTCCAATTTTAAAAAATTATATCTACAAATGGTATTTTACATCAATTTCGTTGCCCTCATACTCCACAGCAAAAATGGCCTAGCAGAGTGCAAACATTGCCACATCATTGAGACGGCCTGTACTCTTTTAATACAGGCTCATTTACCAACTCTTTTTTGGGCTGAATCTATATTAATGATAATATATTTAATAAATTGTCTCCCCTCTCTCAATACAAAGTCTATATCTCCATTTCAACTTCTCTATAATCATCCTCCATCATATTCTTATCTAAAAGTTTTTTGATGTTTGTGTTATCCATGGCTTCAACCAACCGCACCTCACAAATTTGCCCCAAAATCTTCAACTTGTGTCTTCATTGGATATAGTTCTAACAACAAAGGATATCACTACTATCACTTGACAAATCATAAGATTCTTATCTATCGCCATGTTCAATTTCATGAACACATATTTCCCTTTATGTCTTCCACATTCACTACATCTTCATCCCTCAACTCAAATAAAACTTTCATTACTTCTCCCTTGACTCTAGTCCCGTATGCCACATCTCAACAGCTCACTACCTCTTCACATATCGTTCCAGCTTTTCTTACTCCTTCATAATCTCCGCCTGTATCAGCTCATTCAATTGAGTCCCATTCTTCCTTTCATACTACAAACATATCAATTTCACCACCTCCAAACCACTAAATGCTTCCTCCCCGATATCCAATGGTGACTAGGTTGCAAACTGGAAAGCTTAATCCAACAACAATGTTTAATCTTCAACATGTCCTTGTTGAAGAAACTGATCCAACTTGTTTTTTGGCGGCCATTAAACATAAATGCTGGCGTGATGCCATGTCAATGGAGTTTTAGGCTCTACAACAATAAGGGACATGGGATCTAGTTAAACTATCAGTCTCTCAAATAGTGCTTGGTTGTAAAAGGATTTATTATTATTATTATTATTATTATTATTATTATTTTATTTTATTTTTTTGGTTGTAAAAGGATTTATAAAACTAAGAGACAGCCAAAGGGCTCAATAGCTCGTTATAAAGCTCACATTGTTGCACAAGGCTATCACCAAGAGTATGAAATTGATTATACTAAAACTTTCAGTGTAGTGGCAAAGCTACCAACCATTCATATTTTTATTACAACAGCGGTTAAAAGGCATTGGTCAATTATTCAATTAGATGTTTCAAATGCTTTTCTCCATGGAGATTTATATGAAGTGGTTTACATGCTTCAACCCCTGGGCTTCAAAGATTCTCAGCATCCAGACTATGTTTGTCGTTTACATAAAGCAAAATTTATGGACTTAAACAGTCTCCACGTCAATGATTTGCAAAACTCACAACGCATTTGCAAACTTGGGGCATTCAGCATAGTGATGCAGATCTTTGCTAGTCTACAATCATAATTCTCATCTCATATATATTTTTAGTATATGTTAATGATATTTTAGTCACCGGAAACAATCCACAAATAATTGCTGATTTGCTTCACAATCTTCATCAATATTTTTAGCTTCGCAACTTGGGGACTCAAAGCTATTTTCTTGGTATACAAGTTGTTTCTACAACCATGGGCTACCATCTTCACCAATCCAAATATGCATTGGATATACTTCATAGAACCGACATGAATAATTGCAATCCAGTTGTCACTCCTCTCCCATTAAAACCAGTTGGTGATGCTTCTTCGTTAACATTATTTGAAAATCCATAAATATTTCGGCATCTACTTAGTTCTTTACAATATTTAACTATCACACGACGCTTATGCCGTTAATAAGTTGTGACAATCCATGCATTGTCCTTTACAACTTCACTTTCAATCACTCAAGCATCTACTTCAATATCTTAAAGGTACCATAAATTTTAGTTTACCAATCAATGAAAACTCCTCCACTTTGCATGCTTATTCTGATTCATATTTGGCGGGTAATCCCTTAGATAGAATATATATAACATGATATTGCTTATTTCTTGGTGATACACTTATTTCTTAGTGTGTCAAGAGTTGCTCGATCTTCCATGGAAGCTGAATATCATGCATTAGCTACTGTCGCCACTGATATCATTTGGATTCATTGCCTCTTGGCTAATTTTTAATTCACCGTTTCAACATCTATCTCTCTTTATTGTGATAATGCCGCATCAATCATCACTCTTGCTCACAATTCTATGTTTCATGCTCGTACTAAGCATATATAAGCGGATTATCACTTTATACATGATTGCATTAAGTCGGGTACAATTAATATACACCACATCAATTCCCAAGATCAAATTGCTGATATTTTTTACTATGGCTCTTCCTCGCCTTCGATTTACTACTCTTAGAAACAAGCTTCTGGTATCTCCTACGCCATCAGCTTGAGGGGGGGCTTTTAACATATTCTGGCAGTCAACACACCACCAAAATATGCCCACTAGTGATATAAGCAGATTTCTTACATGACCCACAATTGAGCTTGGCAAAAGCACTTTCTCTCATAATAGTTTCTGTTATTAATTCAAATATATATACATGTACTGTTGACGAAGAGGCAATAAGGAGAAATGAAAAAAAACTGAAATTCTTCTTCTCTGTTTTCACTTACCTTGGTAGCTAACATTCCTCTTGCAGATAGCTAACATTCTTCTTGTAGATTTCTTTTCATTAAGGGGGAGATAATTTGAGTGTCTAAATAGATGGTTTACATATATAATCAAAGGCCTATATGTCTAGATTTGTCTTGGAGACAAAGAATAATGTTGTCACTCACATAAATTTTATTTGATTGCATGTTCAACAACCCTAGATGATTATATAACTAAATTTGACTTACACCTCTAGAATGTAAGAAAAAATGTTTAAACAAATATGATTTACTCATACGCTAGAAGTTCTCATGCGGATATGAATCAACAAAACATATGAATTCTTAAGCGGAATTGGGTCACTTAACAAAGGGGAATTCTCAAATATATTTGGCAATATATAAAAGGGACTCATTTAAGATGATTTGGCTTGCTCATATAAGATTGTGAGATGTTCAGATAAATATGATGTATTTAAATATAAGGGAGTCGATTTGGCCTATCTATATATAAATGTGGAGTGCTTAAGACATATAATGTGTTTGAATGACATCAAGAATTTTTTAAATAGATGATCTATTTGGATAAATACAAAGATCAAAATAGATTTGACATACTTCAATTATGTAATGTGAGCTATCTAGATTGTGGGCTCCGAAAGGGATGTTCGTGGGGGTTAGAATGCAAAAGATGTGATTGCACTATCCCATAAGATAAATAGTCACAGACCTTTGCACTCTACACATGTAGGCCAATAGAAGAGTAGGTTGAATCATACATATGATTACCCATGAAAAATAGCCGCTTTCGCCTACACTTCTCGATGGACAATGATATGTATGATTCAAGAGTAACAAGATTTCTTTTATTCAATACATCATCTCGAATGTTGTTTATTTTATATGGGTGTCAATTTCTCATGGGCGTAAGCCTCTGTAATTAATTACATCTTAGGCTTCAACCTAAGAACACTCTTGATTATGACCATTTTTATTCTCTTCTTGATTTGGTGCACAGTGAGATTCCTTATTTCTTCTAATTCAAAGGATATATGCCTAATGAGCTGTTCAACACACACAAAGGTTATTCAGTCATTCAATTGGTCTAAAGAGAACAAGTCAAGAGAAGTGAAGAGAAAAAAAAAAGGAAAGGGGAAGATAAGGAAAATCACACATAAGGCATATAAGAGAGAGAGAGAGAGAGAGAGAGAGAGAGAGAGAGAGAGAGAGAGAGAGAGAGAGATAAAAAAAGAAACATAAGTGTGATGTAAATAAGTAGAGAGAGAGAGAGAGAGAGAGAGAGAGAGAGATAAAAAAGTCATCATAAGTGTGATGTAAATAAGTGGTATTCATTACCTCCCAAGAATGAAGAGCTCACCCAATGATAAGACATACATCAATATACTTATAATCCCAACCTTTCATCCTAAATCTATAGAGAATGTAATATACTCTGAGTACTAAAGCCCTTGACTTAACTACTAAAGCCCTTGACTTAACTAATACAAGATGACAAGGGGACTTATAATTTAAATCCCACCAGGGACATAAGTAGCCCCAACATGAACTTATTATCCTTCTTGGAAAGGACACCCGTCTAAACCCATCTAAAAGCATTTAAATCCATGACTCCAAGTCTCTCTAAATATGCAAGATAGAGTGAATGTTATAATTAAGAATGAGATTAATTACCCCGCCACTAAAGCAAGGGCCATTAATTGAAATATGCTCTAGGATAAATCTACATGCATACATGCCCTTCCTTTAGTGTATGAAATAAATTGGAGGCCTTTTGAGCATTATAAAATATATAGACATCGCCCCATCAAAGGAAATGGGGTCTCGTAAGTTAGGGTATCTAGTGGCAATTTATTGAAACTGCACCAGAAATTAAATCAGTATAAGATCAAATATAATATTAGTTAGTGAAGTAGTAAAATGAATTAATAATTAGAATGATACTTAGATACTCTTAGCATTCACAATTAATAGATGTAGAAAATCATTTATATAACCCGACGACTTCTGTATAACAAGCTTTCATATAATTTTATTAAACACATTAACTAAGAAATCTCTTATGGTCCCGACCCAGTTGATAGATGAGAACTCATATATATTATTTGCAATAATAAGGAACCTTCTTAAGAGGAGAAAATAAACGTGATAATAAAAAAATGATAAATGTCTTTAACATAATGGAAGGGTCAGTGACTTGTTGATTTATATTATTTCACTCTTAATATCCATTTTATATGTATATTGTAAGTGGCTCGCTCTGCTAGTAGATCTCAACACCTTTGTTTGACAATCCTGTAAGTAGAGCCACTTCATATAGGGTGAATTTTATCTCATGACGCTTGATAATAAATTATTATTGAGGAATATTCCAAAATTTGAGCAGCTCGAATATTAGTGGAACATTATGCTGGAATGGTGGGAACTTCAGAAATTGATAGATGATTAATCTCTTCAAGGTGTCCTTGACATCCTTATTTACTATCATGATGAAAGAGCGCAGATAGTTCTAAAACTTGATGCATAACAACAATAAGACGTAATAGGTCGATGATACATCTACAGACATCAGAAAAAAATACGTAATAAATATGTAAAAAAATATGCAGTAAATACACAATGAATATGCAGTAAATATGTATTTTGAAAAAGATACACAAAATAAATAAATAAAACTAAAAAAAAAATTGAAAAATGTGCAACGTTATTTTGAAAAGGGAAGACAATTGATACACTGTTGATACAAAGTCGATATCAATGAATGCAAAATAAATATACAATTAATAATCAGTTTATATGCAGTTAATACGCAATTAGGAAAAGATACACAAACTGAACAAAAATATCTCATAGAAATTTGAAAATTGTCCAACATAAATTTGGAAATTGAAGATAGCCAATACATAGTTGATACAACGTCAATAAAAGTGAATAAGCAGCAAATACACAATACATATGCAGTTAATATACAATAAATATATAGTTAATACACAGTTCATACGTAATAAATACACAATTAATAGGCAATTCATACATAGTAAATACACAGTAAACCCTAAAAACCATAAACGTTAAACCCTAAAGCCCATTTTGAGAGATAAGAAGAAGTATCTCTTTGAAGATGAACTAAACAAGAATTATGGACAAACCTTATTGGTGGATGATGAACTTAGCACCTGAATGCAATTGAACAATTAATTGTATAGAATGCCGAAGCAAAAAGTGAACAATGAATGCCGAAGATGAATAGTGAATGCGATGATGCATAATAAACAGGCTTTGAGGCTTTTGATCTCCTGCGAATTCAAAATTTTCTTGTCCAAGTCGGTTGGGCTGACAAGAAAAAACTAAAAGACAAAATCTATATTGAATATCCACTTATCCAATCCACGTGTCACAGTTTCATTGGAATTTGGACGCAGAGCTACGCCTAGACTCCACACACAATAATTTCTTTGATACTTGACATCAACACGTAGGTCAACTTCTCTTTTTACCAGCAAAATTGACTCTCATATTACTAACAAACCTAACGCATGTTGTCGCCACCGAGGCAACACGACAACACTTACTCGACTGCTTTGCATATTTATTCTCGAATTATGAGGAATGATATCATTTATAACTCATGAATTGTATTAGTTAAATCATTTCAACTAAGTTAATCCTATAATTTTTTCCTTTGTTCAACATTTCATATAAAGCCTCATGCGAGTAATTCTCAATTTAAATATTTAAATATATCAGAGATTTTTATAGGATGTTGAGATAATAAAATTTTTTATCACCTTTAATATTTCATAATGTAACATTAACAATTATCTTAAAATTATTACCCTAATAATATCTTTTTTTTTATTCCCAAATTTCTCTGTTTCTCTCAATTTTTTTGTTAGACAACATAAATTTTATAGACATTTAAAATTGTTTTGAGAAGTGTCAATTTGTGGGAACGGGGTATCTACCCGTTACTATTCTAAAGGAAGTGTTTGACAGCATAATTAATCCATCTGCGGAATCTAATAAGGCCACCGACCAGCATCGAACCCACACTTGCTTTATCCCACTAAAGAGAGTAGCCTATAATAGAGGAGATTCGTATCGAAATTTCTAATAGTGCTCTCTCACCAACCACACGAGATCGTGGGTGATATTAGTGATTACTCACATGTTTTTATAATACCATCGTGGTCTCGAAGTTGAAAAGCTATTTCATGTTTCAACCGTAATCTCGGAGAGGTAGACGTAGGATTCCCCAAATGGCCTCCCAATCTCTCCTGAATCTGGGGACGAAGATCGTCGCTGTCGGCCGCAACTATGCCGCCCACGCCAAGGAGCTCGGCAACGCTGTTCCCAAGGTCTTCCTACCTTAGTCCATAAACCCTAGGCATTACACAACATCTCTCTCTCTCTCTCTCTCTCTCTCTCTCTCTCACCCATACATATATCCACTCAACCATGTACGTTAGATCACCAATTTTGTCACTGGCGATGGATTTGCAGGAGCCGGTGCTGTTTTTGAAGCCGACCTCGTCTTATCTCCAGAACGGAGGTACCATCGAGGTCCCTACCCCTTTGGAGTCGCTCGATCACGAGGTCGAGCTCGCCGTTGTCATCAGTCAGAAGGCTCGCGATGTTTCCGAAACTGGGGCCATGGATTTTGTTGGAGGTACTTTTCATTCCATAGTCAAGATGCTCTGCTGAAAAGACGCTGAATTTTTTATTCATATTTCTGGGCGAACGTTGAACGGTTTATAAGTGGATTATCCTTGGAGTATGAAAATCGGAGGTCTCGTTGGATAATGGATCCGCATCGCAGTTTCTTGAGTGAATAAAAAAGGGTATAAGCTTAAATTTCATTTGGAAAAGAAACATTGGCAGGGCATTGGTAGAATCTTATTCACAGAATGAAGAAGTGCAAAAAGTGAAGCGGTAGAGGATTTGGATGACTGAGGTTACAGGTAATTGAAACAAGAGAATGTTAAAGTGATGCAGAGGCGGTATTGTTTTGTTCTTGATGCTGCCTTGGTTGAGAGAGAAAAAGAGTTGGTCTTGGGGTAGTGGGGAAGCTCGTGAATGAGAGAGATAAAGAGAGAGCAGTAAAAGAGAGGAGAGAAAGACAAGAACCCAGATCGGCTAATGTGTACTCTCCCTTTGAAAAAATTTCAGCCCTTTGAATAATCATTCATTAATGCTGTATTCATGGAAAAACTTTTTCATTTAGCCCCCTATTTATAATGGTTCAAGTAATGAGGAAACAAACAAATAAAGAAAGACATTAAGAGGGATTGTCCAAGAAGGAAATGTCTTCATGGTCCCTCTTAAATAAAGAACGCTTTGCCGATCTTTCATGCAATATTAAAATATAAAACAGACTGTAGTAGTCTTTGGATGATTGTGCAGTGCATCAATTTGCAAGGGTTGTGATGAACTTTTCCTTGAAGAGTTGAATAAGCACATATCTTTATGTTCTTTGGTGTTCATGAAGGAGATAATAGAGAGACAGACTTATGTAGTGCTTTCAATTCTCCTAGAAGTAGATAGGCGGTGTATTATGAAGGATGTAGTGATAATGAGATATTCTTGCTATCATGAGAGTTGGCTCGAGTTTAGGCTGGGTTGAGGCTTACATCTATTGGAAGACCTATAAGTGATACATACAACCTTGGGGTTGTATGGAGAAGGAACGCCTAATAATGGTTATTACGACTGCACCCTATAGATAAGGTGATGCGAGTAATTGAATTTTCTTGGTTGATTTTATGCATGCCATATTAATTGAGTTGGAGTTTATATTCATTAGAAGGCCCATAAGTGAGACTTACAAACTTCGAGGATAAGGAAAGTTTATTGTCTTAGCACCTTACCCTATAGGTAAGGTGTCCTGAGTAGTTAAATTGATTTGATTTTGATTTTTGACATACTGCACATTTTAACGTCTATAGTGATGCATTAACTATAGGATCATTAGATCAATTGGGAGATAAGAAAATCAAAATAAGGTACTTGGCTCATCTGTCAGAGTAATTGAGTTGAGTCAACATTAAATGTGTCTAAGTTAGGATCATGAGGGTATTATAATAATTTAGTTCTTGAGATGGTACTTGGGTGATTTGTTATCCGCAAGAGGACACTAAAGTTCTCTTGGGTCACCCTAAGGATCTACTAAAATCCCTTGTTTTAAGATAAGATCATTTAGAATTCAAGAGTTTAGTTGCACATAGTTTGACGCATCAACACATTCATTAATTCATTGGTACCATTGTTGATGTTGGTGCAAACACTAGGTATGCGCATGATGCTTCTTTTTCCCTTGAACATCTTTTGAATTGTTTGGAGCTGCATCACACTTTTTAAGAAAAAAATAAATATTTAGGGTATTGCATAGAGGTTGTTTTATCTCATATTTTTTAGTATATGAACAATTTGTTAGATTTGGAATGTATGAAATTGGCATAAATTTTAGAAGTTATTTATTTTATAGGTTTGGTGAAAAGCTACTTCTCAAAGCAAAGAAACATATTAGAGTCCAACGAGAATTGAATAGAAGTTGGACATGTTATACGCTAAAACATTTATATAAAAATTTACAACAAGGAGCTATTCTATAATTATATATGTATTTTTGGCATGGCCTACTATGTAATTAAAAAAAAACCAATAGTTGATTGTTTACTTTTAGTCTGTCAAAAGCAAGAGGAGACTGTCCTTCCATGGTCGGACAACCAATCGTCTCATATGTGTTGAGATGCATTTTCATGATCTCTTAACTGGTGGGATTTTAATTATTATTTTTTTGTCACCATTAATAGGCAAAACTCACATACTTTGGAAAAGAGAATGAGATGTATTATAATTACGATTGTTTTTTTTTTACTGTAAGAAAGAAAGAATTGTTAATAAACAATATCTCCTTATAATTTTTGTTTATTTTTTTAGATCAGCACAAGTTATATGCCAACAAGTGTCATAGTGGAGCATAACATGATTTACACTATAGGAAAGCCTACAAAGCTCACCCTAATATATGCCATAATGGGTTCAGGCACTATTTATTCCTTGGATGTTCAAGGCGTGTACATTAATCAAATTTTCAAGTGGACATCATCTTATAAGTTTTGTTAGTTTTCTCATGTCTATAAGGCCATGAGGCTCATTCTAGCTGATGTTCTCGTTGGGGCTGTGCATGATTTATGTTAAAGGAAAGGCTATAAGGCTCACCTTAATTGTTGTCATGGTGGTGTGATACATGATTTACACTACAGGGTTTCATGAAAAAGAGTTAGCTCATGAAGGTCATACCTATTATCATTTCAAAATTAGTGTCATGTGCTATTAAATAGTTGTATTAAGATTATAGTGAGTAGTAAAGGATGGGCATAATTTCTGATATAGGTTTTCTAGCAAGATATAGAACACAAAAGAGGGAGAATGGGAATAGAGCAATGGGTGCAGAGTTGTAAGGTAAGTCGAGATAGAGAACGAGTAGAACATGTGACTGAGAAAATTTGAGCGAGAACTCGGAGATAAGTGTCTTTGGGTTAAATTCACAAATAGGAGGGCACACTATATTGAGATGGTTGTTCGTCTTAGCTACAAGTGAGTAGTAAAGTGGGATATAAAGTCAAGCGTGAGGGATAGAGTTGGTGCTAGGGTGAGTTCAATAGTGCATGTGTCGAGCAGGAGGCATGAGTAATTGGAGGAGGCATGCGAATGATGGGAAATTGAGTGGAAAAGTTTGGCAATTGTATGAGAAAGAAACAACGAGAAAAGAGAGACATATTGAACGCCAGAGAAAGAGCTGTGATTGTGTTAGGGTGAGAGCAATAGGTCACACATTGTGGGAAAATGTAGGGGAGGTGAGATCCTGGTTAATATGCGTGTGGGTATCTCACGATGTGGCTAAGTGCCACAAGTATTTATTGGCATATGAGAAGGGTCGTGGGCATGGAGAAACATGGCTATGATATGTGGGTATGTTGTTTTTTCTTATTCTTTACTTTTTCCCATTTGTGTTGTGGTGTTTCTGTATGTTTATATATATATTAGAGCAGAATTCTTAAAACTAGTTTACGAGCTTAATTTATGGAATACTATGCTTATTTCTTACAGAATTAGGTTTTTCTCATGAATATTGAGGGTGATTTGGTTCAAATGGTAAAATATCAATTAGGTTTTTAAATATGAAGAGGCATATGTTGAAAAATCCATCAGATTACTCAATTGACTAAACAAGAACTTCTAATTAAATCTAAGGAGTAGAAGCTTTGCCCTTGAAGATAAAAGATATATTTTACATAAACAATATTGCAATTGTGATAATGATGCTCTGACATTTTGAGAAGGAAATCAAAGGGATTGATATATTCATAGTTGTTTATGCTTTCTTTGAAACGGAGAAAAATTAGTCCACAAACATGGTACAAGTTAAATTATCTTGCATTTAAGCAAATCTTATGAAGTGGCTTGGCAAGAGGATAGGATTACAACTATAATGTCTCTTGTAGTCTATAGTAAAGGATTGAGTCATGAACTTGCATCAACCATTATTAATGATTTAGCAATGGATAGTGTCGATTAATCACACTTGTGTTTGTAGGCGCTTGAACATTTATCTAAAAGTTTTGGTTATGCTTTCTTCCTAAGTTTAAACTTTTGTAGTTATTGGTAACGCCAAGTGGCCATAAATTCAAATCCCTAGTGTTGTTATGGGGTGCCAAGTGGGAGAGAATAATGGAGGACTTTCAAGATGATATAGGATACAATGTAATGTCTGTTGAAGTTCATGTTGGATAACTGAGTCATAGGTTGGATGAGTGAATAGCTGGAGCTTCGTAAGCATAGGTTGGTCGTGTCAACTCCATTAAGTATTTGCTTTGGAATAGTTTGTAGTGCAAGTGGTCCTGCATCACTTTAGTGGCATGCGTTGAAACAGAGGAATGTGACAAAAGTTGACCTAGAGTTGCTTAAGTATCTTGGAATCCTGTGATCCTTATACTCAGTGGGTTTTTGATAGGAAGTGCTTGCAAAAATTTATGGAAAGCTTTGGCTGAAATCTGATTTTAGCAATTTCAGAAAATCCAGAATAAAACATACGAACACTTTTTTTATTGAAAGTTTTATGAAAAAAAAAAAGATAAGATACAAGTGGATCTTCAATTGGAGAGGAAGATCCGGCTCTCCCAAATCTCTAGCCGTGGGCTAGAGCCCACATACCCTAAGAACAATCTAATTTCAGCAAACAACATCTATCCCTAACCCTAGGAAAATCACCTATTGAAAGCAAACAATAAACATTAAATACCCAAAGAACCCTCCCCCAATTCCCTTATATTTCCTTAATTATTTTTCTCCCAAACCATCTCTCAAGTCAGCCCCTAAATATGTCATCGTCAATTAGGAAACATTTCCTAATTATTTTCCTCCCAAATCAACTTTCAAATATGCCCATAAATCTATCATCTTGAATTATGAAACATTTTCTAATTAATCACCTTCAAATCACCCCCAAATCAGCCCCCAAATCCGCCTTATTTAATTAGGAAATATTTTCTAATTAATCCCCTCCAAATCAGCCCATAAATATGCCCTGTTCAATTAAGAAATGTTTCCTAATTAATCAGCCCCAAATATGCTCTCTTTAATTAGGAAACATCGCCTAATTAGTTTTCTTTGATTAAAAACCTTTCTAAATAACCCCCTCTTGATTAGAAAACTTCTTAATTCCCTCACAATCAAATCAGCTGGTCCATCAATACTCCCCTCCCAAAGTGCTACATTGTCCTCAAGGTGTAACGAACGAATCTGCTGCTGAAGCACTTAACTAATACCACTGTACTGAAAAATGGACTGACACTAGGTCAAACGATCCTTGCCTTGAGCATCTCCTTGTTTAATCTCTCAATCTCTTCGTTTTGGATTTGGGGATGACGGTATAGACGAACACTGATAGGTGAGACTCCTTCCTTTAAGACGATAATATATTCACGTTCCCGCAAAGGATTCAACCCTTAAACTTGCTGTAACACCTCTTGATACTATTGTAGGAGTGGTAGAATCATGTTTGGTGCTTCTATCTTGTCCCCATCTTTTTCTCCTTCCAAATTATGCAGCTCCACTAAAAGTTTCACACCTTCACGATTTCCTCTCCTTGGAAATGGCTCCAAAAATGGCATCCCGTCTTCTTCCCCCACTATTTTCACATCCTGATTCTCCCTTATTATCCCTATATTAGGGTTACTCTCATTTTCTTGTCTGGTCAACGATGCTCTTACCTCCAATGTTGTCGGTTTGGTTTGGCTCTCAAGCAGCTTCTTTATCATCTCCCCCATGATGACAAATTTTTCATCAATCTTCTCATGGATGGCTGAAAATAAGTTTTTGAAATCTGAAATTTTTTCTTCGCTATCTGATTTTAATTGTCCAATCTCGCCTTCCAATACTTTTACTTTTCTTTCGGTCATGGGTGCTCGGATCGAACAACTCTGATACCAATTTGATAGGAAGTGCTTGCAGAAATTTAGGAAAAGCCTTGGATGAAATCTGATTTCAGCAAATTCCGAAAACCAATGATAAGAAAATCAAGAATAAAACACACAAACGCTTTTTTATTGAAAGTTTTATGAAAGAAAAGACAAGATACAAGTGGATCTTTAATTGAAAAGGGAGATCCGGCTCTCCCAAATCTCTAGCCGTTGGCTAGAGCCCAAACACCCAAAGAACAATATAATTTAAGCAAACAACACCTATTCCTAACCCTAGGAAAATCACCTATTTAAAGCAAACAATAAATAATAAATACCCAAACAGCCTTGCCCCAATTTCCTCCTATTTCCTTAATTATTTTCCTCCCAAATCAGCTCTCAGATCAACCACTAAATCTGTCATCTTCAATTAGGAAACATTTCCTAATTATTTTCCTCCCAATAAGCTCTCAAATTAGCCCCTAAATATGTCATTTTCAATTAAGAAACATTTCATGATTAATCCCCTTCAAATCAGCCCCCAAAAATATTTCCCAATTAATCCCTTCCAAATCAGCCCTTAAATCTATCATCTTCAATTAAGAAATATTTCCTAATTAATCAGCCTGCAAATATGCTCTCTTCAATTAGGAAATATCTCCCAATTAATTTTCTTTAATTAAGAACCTTCCTAAATAGCTCCTTCTTGATTAGGAAACTTCTTAATTCCCTCACAATCAAATTAATTGGTCCATTAGTTTTCTTAGACTATGAATAATGTTTTAAGAGAATTAGAGAAGAAGTTTAACCTTAATCATCTCATATCTGTGGAACAATCAACAATTATTTAGTAGCCTTGAAGTTGAAAACTGATACCAATTAACTTTTAGGGCTCTTTCCAAAATGCTCTTCAAAGTAAGGCATCAAATTGACTAAAAGTGAAGAGTGATGAGGAAGAAATAGGGTTGTATTGGTTAGTATTTGAGGAAACCTCCAATCTCTTATATATATTATTGGTGAATGCCGCCATTAAATAGCGCATATAGCTTGTAACTATGCATAAAGGCATATTTACAATCTCTTATAATTTATGGTCAAAATTAAATGCTTGATGTGGCTGGGATACGGACAATTGTATTTGTGACCCATTCCTTAATACAGAAATCAGAAGAAATTAAATACAAAACAAATAAGCAATACAATTTGTGCATATAACGTGTGGGTACACACAAATTTGTCAACTCCAATAACTTCTAGAGAGCCAGCTCAAACTAGATTTATCTTTATCATCCAGCAATGTAATTAGCTAACAGATTGACTGAAAATCATTAGTTTTGTCTTCCATTGTGACAGAAAGCTCGAGTGGTTATTGATCCTCAAACACATTTTGAAGCTGATGAAACTAAAGTGAAGGACACTTATTTTTTTTTGTGTTAGGATCACTCAGGCACCGTGTAAACGTTTTCTTTGATGGGATAATAGATGTGATGCCGCATCTTAAGCAACATGAATTTAATTTCCAATTGTGAATAACTACTAAGATAGACTACCACGTTTGGAAGCTATATTATTGGTAATGATTTGCAAACTTGCCAATTGCCATTTTCCGTTGCCCCTTTTAACATAAATGAAGGTAATGACATACCATAATGGAGTGGAGATCATGGCTAGATTAAGACTCATACTTAATGTGTTGCTTGTAATCTAATCATTGATAGATGTGGGTAAGATCAATAACGAACTAGAGTGCAATAGGCCACTGTAATTAAAGGAAAGCATGTAACCAAAGATTGATAAAGAAGAAATGAATGGAAAGGAGTTTCTGGTACAAATCTTATAACCTCCCACATCATCTCCTTGGGAAGAGAAGGATCAACAGCCGAATATCCTTGGGAAGGTGGGTTTTGCTTAGCATTATGGGGATGAATTTATGGTGAAAATGATGGTTGATTATGAGTAAAAGATGAATCTTGATCCAACTAAACGGGCTGATTTAATTAACTTATTCTACAAATTAGGTACTCTTTATATCCCACTGGTTGGATCAAATCATTATATTTAATTTACGCAAGTTATTCCCTAATCGAACAGTAAATTATGGATGCAATATTTAGGCTGCGTGCATGCACTGACTGAATATTTTTGTTTGAATAATTTGTTTCAAAATTCATAGAAACATATTTGAATCCTTAAGCCATTTTAGTATGATTGCTACAAAACTTAAGCCAGCAAAATTTTTTTTGATGAAAGGTTTGCCAAATAAAGGATTCTTATAACAATTGATCATAAACTCCATTTTGTAGAGTCCTAATTAGCTATACAGGAATTAGCAGTTATATGATTCTCCATCGAGTTCGTTTCATTTATTTGACTTTTAATGCTTCAGGTTATGCTCTTGCATTGGATATGACCGCAAGGGAGATTCAATCTTCTGCAAAGGTGAGAAGTTTCACCATTGATTTTCTTTTGCACTAGCTTTTTAGGAATTTTTTTTTCTTCTTATCAAACATATTGACGATGATTATGTTTGTTATTCATGAACTTAACTTTAATTGACATTGCGTTACACTCATTTTTTTCATTTATGTTTTTATTTGATTTCCCGAAATACAATAAAGTTTTTTTTTGTAGATGTGCAATCCTTTTCTAATGAAGATTTGTCGAATACTATTGTCCTCCATTTATTTTAGCGTCCTGCATGCTGTGGAATGATATGGTCAACTGGATTAGACATGAACAGATCTAAATTCAAGTTCTCAAATCAACACAAATTAAATTACTTCGAAGAATGGCAACAAATTCCATATATACAATGCATTTCTAAATAAGTAGTTTGTATATAAAAAAAAAGTGATATAACTGTATTAATAAGCCAGTTTCATATTTACGGAGGTGTCAACATCAGGATGTGAATAATTGCGTTTGTGATGGTTCCTTAGTACAAGTGCTTGTTAAGAATTTATTATTTAAAGATGGTCATATTATTTATTAGATGCTTAGCCTATTTTTATCTTCAAATGAAATTCTTCATCTCTGCTTTGATTGGTTATGCACGTATGTATCTTGTGCATGCATGAGCCTTCAACAAAAGATGCCGCTTGTCTGGATGAACTATACGGCGATTAAATATTTGAATGATGGGACAACATTCGTTCAAAGCATGTACGAGCATTGTTTTGATACAAAGGCCTCTTTTCTAGCTTTGATATGATTGTCTTTTCTTTTTTGAAACCTTGATTTACATCATCTGCAAAAATAATTGCGGTTGTGCTGTTCTTTATATGTTACGTTTCTATCTTTGGCGTTTGGCATAGCTTCATGCTGCTTCTGCTTCCTTGAATGGTAAAAAGCAGTTTTAGGATGTTTAGTGCAATAGTTGTGAGAAAGTCTTTTTGTATGAGACCTATAGAATAGCTTTCTTAGAACGTTGTCTGAGGTAGTTTCCAATAAAACTTTTAAGAATTTCTTTTTATTTGATAAAAATTAATTAATTATCTTTATTATGTATATACTACGTAAGATTAGGTTATTATTTAATAATTATATGAAATTTATAATAAATTAATAATATTCATTTTTATCATTCAATAACTTGTATCAGTGCCATAGAAGTTTTTTTTTCCAAACAGGCACACCTCTTACTTTACCTTTTAAAGAAAATTTAATATGATCTTACTAAACGATTGTAAGCTTTACAGCACAACATAACACAAAAACAACGACATTATATGAACTCTTAGTCCGTATACTGCCCCAATCATTTTTTAAGAATATCATTGTTATCATATTTCTCTTAGTAGCTCTACAGTACTATGATAAAACATCTGATTGAGAGTTGAAATTTGTTTCTTGAATTTCTCACGTGCTTCGCACTAATCACGGTTCAGACATGAATTAAGCATGCTAAATTTCGTGAGTGTAACAGTTGGCTCCGTATAATAATTCTATATTATTTATTTCATGCTATTTACATATCTAATATTCAAAATATTAATATTATATGTCTATCATCCATAGAACAAATTTGGGTTCATGAAATGAAATATTAAAATTTATAGGATGATATTAACGATAGAAATGAATTATAGGAGTGGTATATTAGATATTAAAGTTGTATATGGGTGGTAGGCATGTAATATTAATATTTTGGGTGTTAGATATATAAGTATCATGAAATAAGTGGTATGTATGTAAAATTCCCATTATTTATTTGTTGCGCTTCGTTGTATATAATGCAATTTCACGGTTATCTTGAAAATTAAATATCATGAAATTCAGTTCTCATAGCTGTCTGTATGTATTGAATCATGAGTGTAACAGTTAGCATCGACCTTTTCTGTTAAAATGAAGGTGCTTCACTCCAGGGAAGACTATGAATGACTTTTTATTAAACCTTTAATAGAAATCCTAACTCGTTCTCCTCACATTTTGTTCAATGCTTTTCCTTCCCATCCTTTATGCTTTAAACTGACTTTTCTTTTTTCACTGCCTATTTGAGTTGATTCCTATGAGTTTGAATTATACTTGCCCAATGTTGTACTATACAATTAATTTTTTGACATTTGTATTAGTATCCTTGCCAAGCGTGCATCTTCAACTCTGATGATCTGATCTGATTTGATACTTGTTTATCATCTTTTGTGTAGTCTGCAGGCCTTCCTTGGACGGTAGCTAAAGGGCAGGACACATTCACCCCAATAAGCGCTGTTGTAAGAAATTATGACTTTTGACCTTTTCTTGTTAACGTGTTATAAGATTAACTAAAGATATCATTCCAAGGTTTAGTTTCGAGGCACAAATCATTCATGCTTAGTGGGCTAAGATGTCCATCATCTTCTTCATGTATAGTTTAACTTTAGTTTAGTCTTTATTCACTAATTTTAGGCAAGTTATTTTTTTGCTGCTGTTATTCTTTTATGTCTTCCAACTTGATTCTATCTATGCGTCTTTATTTTCTGCTCTGCTTAATCCTATCTTCTAAAGCATTATCCTCACTAAATAGCTTCATCATCCCTACCCTTACTACTGATGTTTGATTTATGATTACTTGTTCTCTGTTCACTCTCATTGAGTGCTCATGTTATTAACTTTAATACAATATATTCGCAGTATTGGATCACATTTTGCCCTATTTTGTGAATGTTTAACTCATCTAAATTTATTTTGCATTGTGCTACTCTCACATCTTTTCACATATGAGTTTCTCATTTTGAATATAAATATTTATCCAAAACTGATTTTGTTAGAAGTATTTGGCATCACTTCCTGAAGCAAGTAGTGTGCAAAGATAATCATTGACTATGTTTGCATTGGATCAAAGTTGTTCGATGGCTGTGCAGTTGAGAGCATGGAACTTGACCTAATCGGTTAAACTAGTTATTTTTAAGTTCATCTCTTTTATCTTCAGATAAACTGTCAGCGATAATTTTAATTTTTAAGTTCATTTTTCTTTCTGTAACCTGATTTATTTTCTTTTATAGCTACCAAAATCTATGATCATGGACCCTGACAATCTGGAACTGTGGTTGAAGGTACTTGTTTCACTTTTCTATGCTTCATTTTCCATCCGAGAAGACCGAAAATATGCTTCTTGCAGGTTTCCAATTTAGTTAAAGCTTTCATGCTTGCCTTTCTTTAGGTGGATGATGAAATCAGGCAAAAAGGCTCAACAAGGGATATGATATTTAAGATTCCTTTCCTGATCAGTCATATAAGTTCTATCATGACTCTGATGGAAGGAGATGTTATATTAACTGGTAAGTTATTTGATAAATTATAGTGAGCAGAGGCTATGCATATATAAGTAGAAAAGGAAAATTGAGTTTGTTGAATTGGAATGATATACTTCTTTGCGATCCAAGAAGATGTTGGCGCCTTTAGAGTAGGTGTGAACTCTTAAGTGAAATTAAAGAGATAGAGAGGAAGAGAAAATTAGAAAATTATTCATTCATATTTCATACCCTTTTGCTTACAATAGGGGCCTATTTATACCATGCTTTTAAAAATTGGATCAAACCCGTTGGTTTGACTGGTTCAACCTTGAACTGATCATATGGCCGATCCAATTCATTAAGTAAATTGTCCAGATCGTAACCGGTTCAATGAACAATTTAATTAATTAATAAATTAATTTAATATATTTAGAATAAAAAATTAACTTCAAATTAATTAAAATTAAATTTATTTTAATTTTTAATAATCATTAAATTCCTAAAAAATTATTTGCCAAAGAAAATTCAACTATGTATTTCATATGACTTCACCACTCCATGTGAATTGTTACTACATATAAACACAAAAAAATAATATAAACAACACAGAGGAAATTACTAAGTGATGTAAGACTAAATAAGTTGAATATCTTAAAAATGTACAACATACACTATATTTTTAAACAAAAATTTAAATAAATTTTTATAATGTAAATAATATTTATTTATTTTAGTTAATTTATTTATTCATTTGTTATTAATAAATTATCTAATATGAATAATTTATAGATATAAATTTATAATATGAATTTAATACATAATTTATAGGTATAATCATATCTAAACATATAACATAATATAATAATGGTTTGTATTTAATTTATAATTTTTTATGTGAATTAAATTTATGTTAAATGTGAATTAAATTTAAATATTGAAGATATTTAAAATTAAAATTACAAAAGATATTATTAATGTTTGAATTCAGTTTATTTTTTTGTCAAAATTTTATATTATTATATGATTATTACATTATTATTAATTTGTGCTACTACATGGATATGGTCTACCTAATACATACCTTAAAATAAAATAGATAGACCCGATCTACCTCAACTAAAAATCATAAAAATAAACTAAAATGCTCATTACATATTTGTAGACCAACTTTTATGTTGCCAATAATGATTGTTGTTGAGTTTTTTTCTTCTTTGGTAGACTTTCATGATTATTGGTTGGTCCTTCATGTTGGTAGCCCATTCTTCACAATTTTCTTTTATAATTTTAGGATCCAATCCTGGCCGTGGGATCGAGTAAGGACGGCTATGATTTAATAGAGATCGGCGTGATCCTAGTGAGCTTCCCATGGTGTGGGATCAAGTGTCAAGGGATGACTGAGATTTTAATAATAGAATATGCTAAGAGAGCATAAGAAATCACATCAACAAATCCATGCTTTTGAGGAGCCTTGGTTACACCCTTAGGCCTGTCCCTAGCCAGCCCATAACTCCTTCGCAACTTCTCAATGAATTCTTCCTCAATTTCTTCATTTTTAGCAGCAACAACACCTTCATAATTGTTGTCAAACACTTTTATTTCTACATGATGTTGTTGTCTTGAAGTAGAACTAGCCCTTGAACACCTTCTAATAGTTGTAGGAACATCTGTTTCATCCATAGGAACCGACAGAACCCTTTTAGGAATAAGATTAGCCATCTCATGTTCATGAGAAGTGACATCCCTGCTGATTATGCACCTAAGATAGTCTTCGTTCCACTCACCAAAGTCTATAGCCCTTCATATTTTCAGGATTGCCTATAAAAATGCATTTGATAGCCCTTGGTTCCAGCTTTTCTTACTTGATGCGAGCATATGCTATACATCCAAACACCCTCAACTCCTTGTAACATGCTAGCTATCCACTCCACATCTCTTGAAGAGTTTTGAAGTCAATTGCACTTGAAGCACATCTATTGATAAGGAATGTAGTTGTGCTAACTACTTCTACCCAAAATAACTTAGAAGGCCTTGCATTGTCCAATATACACCTCACCCTCTCTAGAATGGTCCTAGTGAACCTTTCGGCCAACCCATTCTATTGTGGAGTGTCTCACAATTAGGTGTTTTGCTATGTTATGCACCTTGCAAAACTCCTTGAACTCATTGGAGAAAAACTCTAATCCATTATTAGTTCTAAGCTTTTTAACCTTCTTCCCTACTTGATTCTTCACAACCTTCCATTCTGGCTTCATTCTTGCCTTTTAAAAAGAAAATTTAAAGTTTTTTAGAATAATCATCAACTAGAGAAAGAAAGTGCCTTGCTCCTCCATGAGACTCATGCATGCATAGCAAAATGTAAAGAAGAAATTGATGATCTCTGACAATCTCATTCCAATTGGTCATAACCCCTTCCTTCCTTGACCTAAAATCATAAAAATTCACACAATGAGCTAAAAAGTCCATCATGAAACTAAAGCTCTATCACTACTTTCAATACAAAATAAAATAATCCATATGTATATTCATTTATAGTCAATATTAATCATCATTTAATATAAACAATAAAAATTTTAAAAAATTAATAATTAAATCAATATGATTAGCGAAATCAAAAGAGATCTATCAAATTATTAGACATACGATAAAGAGTAGTATCATCGAACGAATCATGTCAGTATGTTATGCTATATTGTATCAATATTAATGTCAGAATGAGCTATCAATTTGTCAATCATTTTAATGTGCTATCAATAAGATAAATATCATCATGAGTAAAATTATGAAAAGTAAGGCATGACATTCAATATTAATGTGGTGTTTTCTTATGTATATCTGTTATCTATCATAGCTCTCAATTTGTCAATTTTCATTGGTGGTTTTCAATAATCATTTAAAAGTCGTCACCCTCTATCTATCGACATAATTCAGTCAAGTAGTTATTGGCTACAACTAGAATTGCATTACCAACTTTTTATTTAAAGGAAAGCCCGTCGGCACACTCTTATGCGTAGGGTATTATATTTTTAAAGCTAACTCATATTCATTATTGTGTTAAATGTCAGCCTTCCTTGTGTACATTGCAAATGTTATATTTTTTTATGCAATGTAAGTCAATATCACGTACGGAATGCAAAAAATATATAAATACAAAAAAAACTATCAAAATTCTAGACTATGCATTTACTTCAAAAAAAATATATCTTTTAATTTAAACTGTGAAAATTCAATATGTTATAGTCAAAATGTTCATGTTGGCGAGATCTATCATATACAAAAGTTATACGGTGAAAATTTTACTAATATAAACTTATCCTCATTTTTCATATAAATCATTTTGGAGTTTTAAAAATTATAGAAAAATATCCATAAAATAAATCATTATTTAAAAAATATTGGTGAAATCGGTTTGCAAAACAGACACCCGACGGTTCCACAATTTTCACTTGTACCGATAAATGTCATTTTTTTAAGGATTTGAACTAGTGCTCTAAAATTACAAAAAAAAATCATGTAATTAAAATAGTGCAATATAAATACTACGACGAAGACGGTTTTCAAATTTGGATTAAAATGACTCTAAAAAAATTTATTTGCTCGAGTCAAATTACAAGCTATTACAGGTTGTCCCCCACAAATTAGCATGTACATAATCCAAAATTCCCTTGGAATCATGTCTTGCATTTGAAAATTTTAGCGTCTTTGCTTTGCCAACTATACAATGCTCACAAAAGTTAATCTCATTCAAGCTCTCAAACACTCCTTGCTGTGTAACTCCTACATTCCTCTTTGGCTAACATGTCCCAACCTTTGGTGCCAAAATATAGTCTCATCCACTCGAGAACTCACCAAGCTAGCTTGTCTACCAAGTATGGTTTTACCTTGCATTGTGTATATCATTTATCCTCACACCTTTGAATATAACAAGTGAACCCTTTACACCTTGAGATTTCCTCCTTCACACTTAAATGAGTAGCCATTTTTGTCAAATTCTCCCAAAGAAATCAGATTTCTTGTAAGTTAAGGTACATATCTCACTTGCTTGAGAACTTTACCAATCCATCATGGAGCTTCAACCGAATGTTGCCTTGCACTTGGATCTTGCATGATTTGTTGTTTCCTAAGAACACCAAACCCCATTCCTTCTTTTTCAACTCTTCAAACCATCCACAATTTGGAAACATGTGGTAAGAGCACCCAGAATCAAGTATCCATTTCTTGTTAGGCTCGATATTTGAGGTTTCAAGGCCATATGAACTTTCATACCCTTCCTCCACACATGAGACATCTCCACTACTCCTTTTCTTTGTTTTGATGTTTGTTCTTCAATTTTGGGCATTGCCTTTTGAAGTGACCTTCCTTGTGACAAAAGAAGCTCTTCACCTTGCCTTTAGACTTGGATATAACATGGTTCTTAGCTTTGGACTCCTTCTTGGGTCTACCTCTCATGACAAGGGCATCAACCGCCCCTTCATGCTTCACCTTAACCCCCCTTTGAATCTCTTTGGAGTTGAGTGCAACCTTGACTTTGACCAAGCAAGAGTCTCTTTCCCATACAAAAAGGTGTTCACAAAATGCTCAAACCTAGAAGGTAATGAGCTTAGCAAAATAATTGCTTGATCTTCATCCTCAATCTTCACTCCCATGCTTTTCAAATCTAAGATAATCGGATTGAATTCATCCAAGTGCTTAGAATCATCCATTTGCAAGATATACAACTTCTTGAGGTAAAGCCTATTGGCTGGAGAGCTTTGAGACATAGAGATCCTAATTTTTCCTAAATCTCTATAGCCGTTCTTTCATTATCAACCTCCCTTAGAACTTCATCTCTTAGGCACACAAGGATTGCACTATGTGCCATATTAAGCACATCCCTGTGCGATCTTTATTATATTCTTAAGATCTCTTCCTCTGATAGGGCTGCATCAAGACCTTGATGGACTAAAAGAGCTTTCATCTTCAACCTCCATAGACTAAAATTATTTAGAGTTGTGAATTTCTCAATTTCAAGCTTAACCATGGATATCATTCCTTCAAAAATGTTGTTGTCCACAGAAAAACAGTCTAGAAAAGGCTATACACCACATGTTGTCCACAAAAACTGTGGTCACATGCCTTCCACCTGTTGTTTTCAATGAACAACCAAAGAAAAGTCTTCCCCGCCGGTTGCCTCTTCTCCTCCAACCGCTGTCCACAAAGAACAACCCAGAAAAAGTCTTCCCCGTCGGTTGCCTCTTCTCCTCCGCTTGATGTCCACAAAGAACAGCACAGGAAAAGTCTTCACCATCAGTTGCCTCTTCTCCTCCCGCTTTCCATGAAGAACAACCCAAGAAAGTCTTCTCCACCGGTTGCCTCTTCTCCTCCACCTATTGCCCCCAAAGAATAGCCAAGGAAAAGTCTTCATTGCCGGCTGCATCTACTCCTCACATGTTTTCCACAAAGAACAGCCCAAGAAAAGTTCCCCGCCGGTTGCCTCTTCTCCTCCATGTGTTGTCCACAAAGAATAGCCTAAGAAAAGTCTTCCCTTCCTGTTGTCTCTTCTCATACTGATGTAAAACGTAAATGTCATTTACTTGCCTAGGTGGCAAGATTAATTAAATCCCAAATCAATTTGGGGAGAGAGAATGGAAATCTGAAATTAAATTTCAGATTAAGTGGAATTGGCGGGATGAATTTGAATTTAAATTCAAATTTAATGGGGAGAATTAAATTGGATGAGAGGGAATTGTGGGAGGTAATTAGGGAGGCTTAATGAGGGGGGCTATTAATAAGATAGGAGAGAGATTATGCCCAATGAGGAGGCCGACCACATAGAGAGAGGGAGGAGATTATTTGTCATAAGTAGAGTGAGGCACACATTACTAATCAAAGATTTAATAAAATATGAATTAAAATTCAGATTTTGAAAGAAAGGAAGGTTTTCAATAATGGGGCTATCAATTAGAATTAATTTGAATTTCAGGCCTCTATATATATGCCTAAGAAACTAAAACAAGACACATATGCCCCTAAGGCTTACATAGGAGACCCTCTTAAGTGAGGGTAAAAATGAAAAATTTATAATAAAAAATTAAAATTACAAATAAAATATAAGATAATGTGGGACGATGACAGCCGTTGATCTTCAGCTCCTCGGATAGCCATGGACGGTTGGATGTCCGCATCACCTACACTCGTTCTCAAAGGACAGCCAAGAAACTTCACCTCTTGGCTGGAATTTTTTTTCTTGATCTCAAGAAACTCCTTCCTTCCTTTCCCTTGATCTTTCTTGACCAAGCTTTGATATCAGTTGTTGAGAAAACAACTTGGAGGAAGAGAGCTTCTTGAATCTACCTTGCTGTTTTGAATGAATCCATCACTGCTTCAATCCTCCAGCAACATCACCTTATTCTCTTTTTTTCACCGGTCACCTGCTGCTGTAGCACCTCATCGAGAGCCAATAGGTTCTCCTCCAGCACAACCTTTCTCCCGCTTGGACCGAGAGCTGCACTTGCCCAGAAAATCCTTTTTTATGCCTGGACCGAGAGCTGCACCTGCTCCCTGGCTACCTCCACTGAGAGAGAGAAGAGAAGGGAGAGAGGGAGAGAGAAGAGCTCACAGATTTTTGAAGAAAAACTTAATTGAAATTTTATTCATTCACTTTCATGTATGTAAACAATACAAGTCATACCTATCTATACTAAAACAACTCAAAGGGACAAAAGAGTAAAATAACATAAAGACTAAATATATAACCAGAATTAATATTTCAAATAAGAACCAACATCTAACAGAAATAATGGAACCTAGAAGTTAATGTATGCTTGGAGGAGAGTCGAGAATTTATAATTGAAGGTTTTGTTGGCAACGCTATTGTTCTTGTAAACAGGTTATTATAGTAGATTGTGGATTAGTGGAGGTGGTAGAATTTGTTCTTGAAACTTGGAGCAGGTGTTGAAGCCTGTGGGTGAATCTTGCGGGTAGGGAGAGCTCAGTGAAGTTTTCTCAGCTGTGGAGGTATTCAGCTAGAATCTGGGAACTGAAGGGCTGTTGCAATTGAAAATCAATAGAAGAAGGCTACTGTTGTGTTGGAATGGCATCAAGAACAGCAGGCCTTGAGTATTATCAGCGCCTGGATGAAGATGGAGAAGTATGATCCGCCGGAGGAAGTTTGACCATTGGATTCTACAAATTGTGGGAGACTGGAGGCTTGTGACTATTGGAAAGGTTGGCTGGCCGACTAGTTTGAAGAGAAGAAATAGTAATCTGGATTTTTTGGACCGTGGAATGAAGAATGCTGGAGAGGAGACCTTTTGCGATGGCATGAGGTCCCCCAAAGGAGAGCTATTATTATGTACGGACACCGGTTGGGAGAACCGTCCGGTTAAGCACTGGGTACCCAGCGGTACCGAGGGGTACCTAGTGCGGGTACCGAGCTCGGTACCCAACAATGGGGTGACGTGGTGCATTTTTATTAGTCTCCGAATGCGCTCCGGACTCCGCATAGAATAATAAATCCCGAAAGGGGGCGAACTACTATGGAGGTGGAAGTATTCCACCTCTTGCTATAAACCTGGACCGGTACAGGGACCGGTCCAACAAATACAACTCAAACAATAGTGATAGGTGGCTCCTCGAAAAATTCAAAATGGGGAGATCATTTTAGTATATGCATCAAATAGTCACTGACAAAGTAGCGTCATCAAATAAAAAGTTTAGTGTAATAAGCTTTTAAGTATAGTCTTATACTAAGATGAGGGTTAATGAGCCTAACTCATTAGTCACCGACCAAGTGTAAACCTGACATGAATTTCCCATGAACCTCAAAATTAAGGCCGCCCAAGAGAATCTATCAACAATAGAAAAAGAGTCTCGCATAACAAGCACAGAGATCTCATCTTCACTGAAAATGAGCACATATTTGTCTTCATATGCATCAAATAAAAGTTTAGCTAAATTATTTTCCTCGTAATAATTTCACAACCAACTTTATAAAATGCTGTCACTCTTCTCAAGATATTTCTAACGAATTCGAGACCTCTCATCATCCAATGTATCTCAGATTAGATGATTATACACGAGTAAATAGAGAAAGGAAGAAATACAAGTGTGATAAGAAAGCCATTAATTCTCCTTATTACACTTTCCATTCTCATTTTGCTATCTTGTTATTCAATGAAAAACATCTATTCAATATTTTTTTTCCATGCAGGTACGCCTCCAGGTGTAGGGCCGGTGAAGATTGGACAAAAGATCACAGCAGGCATTACAGGTTTTATCGATGCCCACTTTGATGTTCAGAGGCGACAAAAGCTTGTCATTTAGAAGCTGAAAACCTGCTATTTAACCACCACCTGCTTCCTTTACCTGTTACACATAACCTGTAATTGCGTCGGTGAGATTTGTTGTCCATTATGAAGTGGATTTTCGTTTGGGACGTATTTTTTATTGACTCTTATAAGTAATTTTTTAAGATAAAAATTAAAATTTTTATATTTAATTTTTTTTAAGTAGTAAGAAAGGTTGGGATAATTTTTTTACTATAGAAATTTTTTTATAAAAAACTGCTTTAAAACGTAATAAGAAAGCTGACCTGAACGAAATCTTAGTTTAACTTACTGTCTGCTGCTGCTGTATAATACGAACAATTATTACGTCCTCCGACCGGACGTAGAGGAATGTCCGGTCGGAGGTAAATTCCCGCCAAATACGAAGTTGTACCGAGTAAACATCGAGCAATATCAAATAATAACGAGGAATAACATCATGTGAAGACCCAATACCGAGTTATTTCGAGCTATCTTGAGCAATACCGAGTTATACAAAAGTTGTACCGAGTTTTTCCCAGAAAAACTCGGTACAACTCTGTAATTCTCGGTACAGGTTGGTATAACTCGGTATTAGTCTTCAAAGAACGGTATCCTCATTATTATCAAATAATACCTAGTTGTACCAAGAAAATACTGAGTTTTTTGGCGAAAATTTGGCTCCGACCGGACGTTCCTCTACGTCCTTGCACCGGATGTAATAAAAGTTCGTATAATACAGGTGCCAATTAATTAAAAACAAAAAGAAAAAGATCCCTTTTTAAGCCAGGAAAAAACCGGCCAGGTTTTGATTGAAAATTTATGAGTACATCTATTTTTATGCCATTTTAAGTATTTTTTTTTAAATATTTGTTTTAAAAAATATGAGAGATTCAATAAATAAATAAATGTATAGAAATTGGATGATAAATTTAATAGAAAATTTGTTAAATAAAATCATTTATATCATGCAATATTGAAACTATATGGGAGCATTATGAAGTTTCATTTTGATAGACATTATGTTAAGAGCATCTGATAGTTATCTCCGTTTAATTGTTTGTTATGCTGTTCTTCAGCAGGAACTTTATCATGATGTTTCCATCTTTATTCTGAAAAGCTTCTGGCATTTCTCATGCATGAAAATTTCTCCTTGATTGCAGATAAAGGGTATGATTGATATTTTTTTCTTGACGTTAAAATAGATGGATGGGGACTGAGGCTTTAGTTGAGGATGACTTTTTTTTTTTATGCTTCTTAAAACAGTTTTTTAGTATAAAAATTTTAATTTTGTATTAAAAATTTATTTTAAGAAGCAATGAGAAAGCCACCTCAAATGAAACCTAAATTACTGCAAAAAAAAAAAAAAAAAAAAAAAATCTGGACCAGGTAGGCTCAGCAGGTTTTTTTTTTCTCAATTTTACGGTCCTTTTCTATGCTTTTGAATTACATTTTTCGGGCGGGCAGGCAGGCGGGGCGAGCGCTCAAATTTTACTCATTTGGCTTCTCTAGTGTGCTAGAATTATGCCAGATCTAGCATGGACTGAGCCAAATGCCAATATATATTAAAGGCTAAAGAGAACTCAAGACTTTCATATACTCCTGCTTAGTTTAAGTCGGCCTCACAATTGTATAATAAGTCACCACGTAGTGTATAAAGTTAAGACACTTGGTACGAAATATTTCAAAAAGAGCGATTTTCATTTTAATATTTTGCTATGTTATCATAAAATTGACGATAAATATCTTTATAAAATTATTATATTCATTCTTTCAATGATAATTATTCTTAGCACATGTCTAAATATTTAGTCATAAGTTTAAAATAAATATATTTATAATTTTTTATCATTTACATCTCATAATCATATGATTTCATGCCATTTAATAATAAAAAAGGCATGTACTAATTTAAATTAAGTCAAACTATAATCTAAATCTTTTCCCAATATGTATGGATTAGGTTAGGTTAGGTGCCAAATATTTTGACATATTTATACATGAAAGAATTGTGTTTCTTTTTGGAACGGGGAATTCACCTGCTTCCACCTCCGAAATGGCGCTTGACAGCATGACTAATCCTCAACTGACCTAGAAGAGGCATCCACCCCAGAAACCTCATGGCCCGCACTTGATTGGACCCCACTTGAGAGGCGCTGCCGCTCGAGGGGAATCGAGCAAGGGTTAGGGGGTTCTCAACCGTATTCGTCCACTACCAAGCTAAGCAACGGTGGGTAAAGAATTGTGATTCATTAGGTAAATCCATTGTCAAACTAAAAGGAAAACCAGGCTTAGTTTTGTTGGAGTTGGGGTTTGACCTTAATATCCTTACTCTACCAATGATGAGATCACATTAGAAAAATTGTGCATATGTCCATTAATATCCTATTGAAAATTTCAAACAAAAATTTGAAAGATTCATAGTAGTTAGGATTAGGTTGACCAAAATCAATAGCAGGCCATAGCTGATTTGATAGGACAACTTCTCTATAATACAATAATAATATGATTGTATAATTCAATCTTTCTAATTAGATAGCAAATGTATAAACTTACTGAAAAAATTCATGAAAATGAACTGCAATGAAGCAGTCAGACTTTAGAAGACTGGGGCTTTGATGTTCTTCTTGTCCAGCAATCAGATCTTATCTGATAAACTGGTGATTCACAAGGAACTTGTCCCCAATCTGCACTAGGCTGAAAGAAGCAATACCCGGTGGCCATTGCCGTCGCCTCCATGGTTTGCCGTCGATAAGGATAATTGGGAAATCTACTAGGATCATAAGGATCAAATATGGGTGACTCTCTTCCAGTGGTAATCATGGTGGATTTCAGGTAAGACTCAATAACATGACATTCTTCTCTGAATCTGTTCTGAACCTGCTTCAATCTCCTCAGAATATGGTTTTGCCTTGAAGATTGTTGTCTTCTAGGCTTTGGCTTGTTATTGTTGTTGGCATCATCATCGTTATTCTTATAGTTTTTACTGATGCTAACTTTGGTGTTACTGGTAATCTCATGGTGATCAGATTTCCAGCTTAGATAGCAATCCTTGCAGAAGTTGCTGCTCCTCTCGCCATTAAAGCATTTTCTTCGAGCTTTGTCAGAGAGACAGTAATATGCCTGAGTAAAGGGAAATGAAATCAAACTGAAACTTTCGCTGGGTAAAGTCTACAGCTTCTATTGATTCTACTATGATGCAACAAGGAAGAAATGGTTTCATGATTTTCATTATAAGTTGCAAGCAAAAGTATTTTTTGCGTACAATACTATAATTTTAAACAGTTTTGTTTAGATTGGCATATAACTCCCTCTCGCAAGAAGAAAGAAGAGAAATAAAAAAGGAGGCTAAAGAGAGAAGCTCACCTCTGAGATAAGCTTGAATGCCACCTCTGCCTTTGGGTGCTTGTTCTTATCTGGATGTAACTGCAATGCTACATAGGATTTCCATTAAGAACACAGATTATTATTGCTATCACAACATTTTTTCTTCCAAAAACAGAAGCAATTAGAAATCATAAATGAGTAAAGAAATAACAGAAAAAAGAAAAAAGTTGCAGTGTGGATAAATCTAGCACACACCAAGTTGTCTGTAACTCCGCCGAATCACATCGAAATCAGAATCCTCATCAACCTTCTTCAAAGAAAAATCATAATTCAAGGAGAGGAATGGAGAGAATTCACAGAGAACTGAAGTAATTCAAAACGAAAAAGAAATCAAGCTTTACTTTTAGAATAAGGTACCAATCAACGAATGCTCTGTTCCTGGCATTGGAGCTGAGATGTTCACAAGAAGCAAACGCCGAAGAGATGAAGCAGATCTCCTTCACAAGCTCTGCTTTCTGCTCCTCTTCCATCTCTCTTCTCCCCATTTTCTCTGTATCTCAGAATCCCAGTTCAAGATACTTATAATAATGATAAAATTGGGAACTGCTCTTAGTGAGTTTTTTCCTCCCAAATTTAAAATAATTTTTGGTTTATCAAAAAGTCTCATTAAATAAAAAATATAGTAGACCTTAGATTAGGGTGGAGAAGATGGAACGGTTTAGGTTTTCGCGGATTTCAAAGGGGGAAGGCGCGGCGTTTGCGGTGCAGATTTTGAAAATGGAGTTTTGAGCGAGTGAAGGTGGAGATAAATGGATTTTACCGTTAAGGTTAAGCACGTGGATTCCACGTGAGGTGTTCCCGCTACAGCTCTTTCGAAGTTGGAACTTCTAACGCTTGTGAACTGGTTGGATATGGGGGTGTCAATTCGGGTCAACGGTCGAATCCGACTTGACCCGGCCGTAAACTGTTTGACACTAACTCAACCCGGTTTTGCAAACGGGTTAGGTTTGTCAACCCGGACCCGACCCGTACAGGTTACCGGGTTGATCCGACCCGACCCGACCCGCGAGCTAAAAATCAAGCGCACATCTGCAGGCGGAATCGGGACGGCGGTAGTAGCAGCGCTTGCGGCATGTGTGTTGGCGGGAGTCGCGGAAAAAAGCGGTGAGTGGTGACCATTCAGGTAGTCACTGATGCGTCCTGCTTTCTGGAAGACTCGATCGCTCGAACCACTCGTGACGCCTGAGTGCCTGACGCGACCATACGCAAAGACAAGATGCGTTGACGCAGTGACGTGACGACGTGCCTGGGAATTGACGCGACGAGACAGGTTTCACTTCATGCGGGATGTTGCAAACGGTCAAGGCGGGTTAGTTTCGAGTTTTCGGGTCAACTCAAACCATACCCGATTTTACAAATGGGTTAGAATTACTAACCCGAACCCAACCCGTTTGACAAACGGGTTGACCCGAACCCGGATTTTTCCGGGTCCGGACCAAGTGGTGTAAAAAATTGGAGCAATTATTAGGTCCTTTCACTGGATGTAAAGGAAGATTCGATTTTAGGCAAAAATAGGTCAAAAAGTGCAAATACCGAGTTTTTTGAAAAAACTCGGTAATTTTTCAAAAAACTCGATATTTGCACTTTTTGAGGCAAAACCGAATCTTCCTCTAGGTCCTTGCACTGGACCAAATAAAAGTTCCAAAAATTGACACCCCCTAGTTGGATCTGTATAATCTTCCGGTGATATCCTCGGATTGACCTGTGATCACCGGTGCCCATACGGCTATATTTCTTTTTCCCGGGCCTCGCTTTTTCCCATGAGCTTTTCCCCATTTTCAGTTTCTAGGTTTCTCATTTGCTGACCAAATTATTGTGTCGGATTGGAAACCAAGTTGAATTCTTCTATATCTTTTGCTTGAGCACAGCTGAGTAATGAAAGAGCTTGGCGGTCAAAAAAGTGGAATACAAAGGGCATGATTGTTGATCAATCTTGTAGTTCAATAGCTTGTTCGATCACAACTAAGTAATGCAAGGGCTTGCTAGTCAAAAAAGTGGAATACAAAGGGGATGGTTGCTGACTTTACTAGGAACTTTGTTTTGATAGTCTTGCGAGCGATGACATTCATGATAGTTTGATCAATTTCAAAATTTGGAGGGCTGTTATTTATATGTTTAAGGCCAACACAAGGATATTTTGTGATGTCTTGTGATGTCCCAGAACAATCAGAGTTATCTAATATCATTTATTAATAATAAATAATAAAAATAGATTCTATAAATTATTTTTTAACGAGTCATGTACATTACTCAGGATCTACATAGTCATATCATAACTCTTTAGCCATGAGTACAAAATAATAGCTAAAACAAAAAGAATATAAACATGAAAGAATCCTAACCAACATCACATTCTTGATTTCCTGCTTCGACTTGAAATTATTTAACCACATATAATGAGTTAAAAAGCCTAGCAGATCATCAAAACCTACAACTGAATTCAAAGCATGGTAATGAAGCAATATGCATGTCAATAATCAAATCATAATATTATTCATATGATCATTGAATCAATGCATAAACAATAAAATTCACATGCACAAGTAGTATAATCTATAAACAATAAAAAACTACGGAACAAAAGTCAATAAAAAAGTAAACTAGTACTAGTGTCAAATCTATAAAGTAATCGTCATATTCGTAATACCAATTAGTACATAAATTGGATAAAACATTGAATCATAACAACAGTATAGATTGTTGAAATCAAATCAATGTAGTAAAACTATATAAGAATGTACCCATACTATCCAAATATTATATATTATGTGCTCAATATATCACATTATTAGTATCAATATAGTGAATTAGTAATATCAAATAATATTAGTATTTAAATCGATAATAATAAAAATCTAGTGGCAAGAGCATTAGAATAATACAATAATAATAAATCCATGTAGTAATAATAAATCTATACATTAACAAAAATAATATTTCAAGAACATGCTTTTTAATAATCACACTAAAAAAGTAAGAAGTAGTTCTTGTTAGTACAGTATTTTTCAGTATTGTATAAGTATGAGTAAACCGTTGACTCAATTAATAGACTCATCACTCTTTGTTCGTCGGCACAACAATTATTTTCTTATAACTCCCAATTAGTATATCACGTGAATCAATAAAGGATAACACTAAATCATAATATTTAAAGGAAAGCCCGTCAGCTCATAATCATGTAGATGTTAATCAGCCTCCAACCAACAGATCAACCAGTTCTTACTTGTCTTTTACATATATTATTATCACAGTACTATAACAGTAATCTCAAACACATATCCATATTTATTTTCAATGTATTGTAGTAAATAAAGCATAATTGAGCTTAATTCTAAAAATATAAAAATATCATAACAGTAGATAATAAAAATCACACTGAGGAAAAATTCATATTTTTAGAATTTAACCAAATAATCAATTATTACATAAAATAATATTATGAAACTTTTGTTGAACTAAATCAACACTTTTAGACATTAAAATAAAATTTTAAGTAGGCACAAATCGTTCTATTTTTAGAATCACATGATGAAAAATCTCAAATAAATACTCAAAAAATTAATAATCTCAATCTCTATAACATATAAAAAGTTAAGTGGTGAAAGTTTTATTAATAATACAAAATTATTTTCATTTTTTTGTAACAGAAATATAAATTTGATCAAAAAAATAAAATTTTTGAAATCAGAAATAGGGTAAAGGTTTCTTACAACGAGACGTGAATTAGAACAACAATAAAGATTGTTGAAATCAAATCAATGTAGTAAAATTATATAAAATGTACTCATACTATCCAAATATTATATATTGCGTGCTCAATATATCACATGCTTAGTATCAATATAGTGAATTAGTAATATCAAATAATATTAGTATCTAAATCGATAATAATAACAATCTAGTGATAGGAGCAGTAGAATAATACAATAATAATAAATCCATGTAGTAATAATAAATCTATACAGTAACAAAAATAATATTTCAAGAACATGTATTTCAATAATCACACTAAAAAAGTAAGAAGTTCATTTCAATATATTGACTCCATAAAAAATTATTTATCTAGATTAAAATACAAGTTATTATATATTTATCTTTTGAGTAATTGTAAATAAGATATTATTAGTGACATTGATATGAAGATCATTTAAGATGCTCATCTAAGATGGTAAGATGACCTTCATTCATAATTTGGATGTTATGCGGAAAATGATAAAAATATGATAACTCAAGCCATATTATGTTTGCACTAATTTTAAAAAAAATATATGATGAGAAATTTATATTGTTTATGATGTTCATACCATCTCTTTGGTTTCTTTTCACATGATGATGATCCTTTTGTCTATTCTATCCTTAGGATGATTTATTTTCTCTTTTTATCATAAAAATAAGTTTTCAATCAAGGAAATCCTAATACTAAAATTCTTTGAAGTAGCATATAAATGAAATATAATATTTTTTCATACTATTACTATTGAAACATAATGTATTTTATTAATTTTAAGATAGTAAATTTAGCTATTAATTGCAATATGCATGATATACGTAGCACTTTAAAAATTTTATTATAACTTATTGCATTGAGATGTAACCCACTTTAGTCTATTGGTTTAGAGCGCATGCTTTTGATAAAAGGTCTTAGGGTCCAAGCCTTATGTAATAAATGCTTTTATACTGATTTGATTACCTGATGACCTGAATATAATTTGATAAGTTTGTAGATTAATTTGGCTTAAAATTGGACTTAATGATTGAAATTGGAATGAAATATGTCAAGTTGAAAGTTGCCCTAGGGGGTGCTGTGACGTTGTAAAGGAGATGTTGCCCTCTATGGTTGTGGGCTATGGGAGGTGGCGTAGTGATGTTGAGGATGGTGCTGCATGAGGCGCTAAGCTATCTGTTTTGATATTCTGGAATTTTAATGGAGAGTTTTGCAGTGTTGAGAAAGGTGACACTATGGAGCTAGATCACAACTTTTTAAGAAAATCTAAATCAATTGTCCCATTTATAAGAATCAAACATTTCATTTTCTTCATTTTGGCCGTGAGGGAAGAATAGAAGGATGAGAGAAAAAGCTAGTTCGGAGATCTTTGGGCTGATTTAGTCCATTGGATTTATTACGAAAATTATTCGTCTCGAGAGTGAATACAGTAACCCTGCTCCCATTTTTGATGATTTTGACGTCTATAAGGTTTCCAAGATTTAATTTAGTCAGAAATAGCAAAAGTCATGATATATCAATTTCTAACAAGTTTTCACTAGCACGTTTTTATTGGATAATTTTGCATTTTGAGGCATATTCCCCAATTTGAATAAGAAATCTATATAAAGAAAATGGTAAATGATTACTACAATTGATTTGAATAAATTGATGGACATGCATATTTAGAATATTTCATTTATTATGACATGCTCATTTTAAATAGTTCAATTATTATAACATACATACTTGTTATGAATTATTTGTTAGAATTAGAAGATATAGTAGAAATGCGTATATGATATTATTTTTTATATATGTTATAAACTATGTGTATGTAAGAAATGTTAACTACTATGATTCATGTTGACATAGATATGATATGATACTCTACATCAGAGAGTGGACATATATATTTTTCTTTAAATATTCATAGGTTATAATTGGAGGTATAAGGGGATATGATGTGATTATGTTTGGAGTAAGACTCATGTATATGTTGCCACCTAATTGTTTATACTAATATGCTATATTGATATGATATTGTACGAGATATGATTATATACAAGGAATTTGATAGGATTAGCTAAAAGCCATGCCTTACATGTATATGATACTGTGGTGTTAATATACGATGACTCACTTAATACGATATGATATGACACGATGCACATGAATATACCTTACGATGATACATGATAATTTTAAATGTCTGGTTTTGCATATCATTATTATACACATGATTATTTTACATAATAATAGTATTGCTATGTGTGATGATAATTCTAATATGGCAATATACTCCAAAATATCTCACATACAATGCATGACATACTTGAATTCATAATAATATGATTTGACCGTTATAACACATGATATAGTTGCACTGACATTTATGATAATTATTCCTATTAGCATGACATGATATAATTATATATATGAGATAAAATGACATTGTATATGTTTTGCTTATTGTAATTGGATGTTTTAATTGGCTATAAATGTTGATTATTGATGAGATAAATTAAAATTAAAAATAATTTTTCTAATTAGATTTCGAGGATGTGACACCTTATATATGTGTGTATTTGAGTTTGTAAATTTTATATAAAATCTCATTAAATTTGCTACAATATCGAATACAATAAAATCGTTAATTTATCAAATTAAAAATTAAATTTATTTAAGTAATGTTAAATAATTATCTAAAAATTATTAAGGAAATGCATATTTATCATGAATAATAACCATAAAATTGAATAATTTATGCATCAATATTTATTTTGAAATAAAAGATATATATTAGTTTTTTATATTATATTAATCTAAAAATAATTTTGATAATTTTAAATTCTATAATAAATAAATTAAGACGATGTACGCTGCTAACATCCGCAACCTCTTAAATTTCAGAGATCTGCCTTGCTGTTCAGGTTCGAGCTTCCGTGTCGGCTTCTCTTCAAGTCTTCTCTCCGGGTGCGGGGTTGTGTGGGAGGAGGGAGAGAGAGAGAGAGAGACTCCACCGCATCTTGCCGCAGCGAAATGGAATATTCGGCGGTGATCTTCGGCGACGGCGTCGACTTCTCTAGGCACATCACGCGCGACCACTCCCGCATCCCCGCGACGCTCTCCGTTCTTGCGTTGTCTGCATCAGCGATACTCCCCGTCGACTCTTCCGCTCTTCCGCGTGCTGCCGTCCGATCAGACCCCTTCCGACCTCCCGCCGCTGTTCCCCGCACCCTTGTCCGCCGGATGCGACGCATCCGCCGCCGCAGCGCCACCGAAGACGGTGGCGAGGACGGCTTCTTTGATGGTGGCGACGGTGACGACGGTCCCTTCGGCGGTGGAAGCGGGAGTGGAAAGGGATGGGGTTCTTGGCGGCCGGGGGGATCGGAGTGGGAAGAACCGGATCGGCGCCCGTGGCTTTCTTCGTCGGCGGATCCTGCCTTCGATGTGGTTTATGAGGTGCTTTGCTGGATTGCGCTCTCGAATTGTGCTCATTTCGCTTTTAAAAAGATGAGCCGGCTCCTAGCGGAAAGGGGGAAAGATGTGTCGATCAGATTGGTCTTGCCTATCTGATGAACCTGGGTCCTCCAATTCGGTCCCGATTGGTGATCCCTTTGTCTTTTCTCAATCTAATCCTGTCTAAATTTTATGTTCATAATCTTACATGTTCTCTTCTTCTTTTCGTTTGTTATTTCCTTATGCTCTTCTCTATTGGATAGTATTTAAAAGATCAGGCGAGCAAAGGTACATTTGTTTACAGTTAGCGCTGTTCAATTTTTTTTGGAGGTTCCTTAATACAGAGCCGCTCTGCATGAAGGGGCTTTTTAGAATACATGCATTTGAAACATGCAAAGCAAATAGAAGGCATGCATTTTTAAAAATGTAGGAGTTGTTTATTGAATGCAAATGAAATGCATTAAAAATTTGTTTGCATTTGTTATGATTTATTTCAAGTGCATTGAAATACGAATGCGATAAGCATATGCGGTGATATTGGGTGGCAACGAAGGGGAATCATGAACGGGCGTAATGCGAGATTTTGAAAACGTATGATTTGGGTGATTTTCAAATTTAGGGAAAATAGAGATTTTGGGGATTTCTAATCCCTCAAAATTTTTACTTTGTATTTTATTTATGTCAAACCGAATACCAATAAAATGGAAATTTAAGAAAATGGAATGCCTTACCCCAATAATATTACTGATCAAACAACTCGTTAGCTTAAATCTTTTGACTAATTGGTTGAGTTTCTCGAGTAACTTTAGGCAATAGATCGATCTTTCTTCATCGACACTCTGAATCAGGCTGGGTATTTTTCTTCCCTGTTTTTCATGCTTAACTCGAAGGGTTGCATCTCTTAGTGTTTTATAACTGCATCTTTATTTATTTATTTTATTTTGGGTTTTTCCATGCTAAATTGTGATGTTTATTTCCACTATTTTCTTTTCTTGTTTGTTTCGTTGCGTGGTTTTACTTCCCAATAAATTTTTTATACAGAGCCAATGATATGAGGATAGCTAGATCCAACCCCCAACCTAAGACCAACCTAAAAAATTTGCTTGAGCTAGAGTTTGAGCCTACCTAAAACAAGCATCAATCAATTTATTAAAGTGGGGATTTTTTATATATTGAAGTATCATCTAGCATAGTAATCCTAATTTCTATCAAGCATTCTATTTGTATTTACAAACGTGCAAGGATAGAAGACAATGAAGGTGGAGAAGTTGATGAAGAATATTGAACTCCAACAACTAATCCTAACACTTCAGTTGCATTCATGACATAAAAAGTTGTACAGCCCCAAGGTGAGCTAGATCTTCTAATAATATATTTATTCAAAAGATTTTGAATTTTCTTTTGACAAAGAGTTGAATACACTTTGTTCATTTGTGAAGGTCTGACCTTTGTAGGAATTTGATTTTCATCAAATCTCTCAATGTATGGTAAAGTTACACAATGAACTTTACAGTTCCAAAAACTGATAGGATTATCATCACAGATTTTAGAAACGATTTCTTGATTAAGTTTAACAATCTGTTCTAACATTTGAGGAGATTGGAGAGGAGTCTCACTTTCTTTCATATTAATTTCTATTTGTAAGAAATTGATACATAATTTCTTTTGATTGATTCTCTGAATCTCGTTTAAAATTCTCTCTTTAGGATCAGAGATAAATTCAAACTTAATCAGATGAGTGAAGTGATCTGAAATAATGGGATATTATTAGTGGTAATAGGCATGATTTCAAATAAGAAATGAGTTCTCAAAGTAACATGTTGGGATAGTTTCTTTACTAAAAGGAAAGGAGTGGCAATACATTACATATCATGACAAATAGCAGCTTTGCTAAGATTATAATCTATTTGATTTCAATTTTGTTTGGGATGGCTTTCTTACTACTTCTTAAAACAGTTTTTTTGTTCAAAAATTAAAATTTTAATACTAAAAAGTTGTTTTAAGAAGCAGTAAGAAATCTGTCCCAAATGAAGCCTTCCACTAGCAGAAGTAAGTTTCTGTGTGATTTTGTCAAAGTATATCAGCACCGCTATCAACAAGTGCTGTGAGATTAGTAAGAACAAAGGATTTATTGATTACTAATTTTATAGTGATAAACTATTTTTTTGTAAAATGGCCTTTTGCAAAGATCCTAAAACAGGAACATTTGACCTCCTGTTCAGGAGATTCTTCCAGTGTTGGTTGAGGGAGAATCAACTCAGTAGAGTTTCCTAATTCCGGATTAGCAACTCTAGTAGAGAGGTGTTCTGATTTCAGAAGTTTGATTTCTTCTTTTAATTGATTGATTTTTTTTTTTTTTTGCCACACTTGAAAGACCTAATATTTTTCTTATCAGGTTTTGATTCTTTTTCCCGATGTTCTTTATGATGTTTCTTAAAATGTTTTATAAATATTTTCTTATGAGAATGATCTTTTTCTGGACTAATATCCTCTTGGGTGATACGCCTGTTTCAAAGATTGTTTTTGGGTAGATGGTCTGGAACAAGCAAATTGTTCGCAGAAAGCTCCCAATTGCTTTCTTTCGAAGATACATTCTTTACGTTTTTCTTAATCTTTTGAATGGTTGGATTGTGATATAGCATCTTCTTTCATTTTGAATAATAACTCCATCTTTCCTTCATAAAACACATTTTAGACGGTCTTTAATCTGATTCATTTGGGTATCGTTTCTTCTGATTTCTACGAGTTTATTGGGGAGAGAATTCTTCCCTTGGATTTGCTGAACGGGCTTGTACTTGATTATTGTGAATGACCTTTTGAGTTTGACCTTTTGATTTCAAAGTCCCTTTGAACTTCGTAGATTTTGGTGTTTCATTTGAACTATATGGATATGATTTAATTGTGATCATTCTAGAAGAGAGGGATTTGCGTCTTGCACGGTCTCTCGAGATTGATCTGCCTCGAGGCCAAGCTCTGCCTCTATTAGGGGGTGGCATTGTGCCTTTCCCCTTGGGGGTGATCCACCTCTGCTTAGGGGTGTTAATTCGGGTCGAACCAGGCTTGACCTGGTCGTAAATGGGCTGACGTTGACTCAACCCAATTTTACAAACGAATCAGGATTGTCAATCTGGATCTGACCTGTGCGGGTTGCCGGGTTGACCCGACCCGATCTGTGAGGGTAATAATCAACCCGCTCGTCAAGTGGCGACGGCAATTTGGGAGGGACGGCGGTGGGAGCGCGGTCAGGACGACCTTGACAATGCTGGCGGAATTACAAGCAGCAACGACAACAATAGTGTGGTCGGGACGGAGGCAGCCGACAACGGCAGCTCAGGTGCAATGTGGTAGTGAGCGGCACACGATGATTGACGTGGCATTGATGTGACGACGCAACACGAGTGATGTGATGATTGACGAAGACAAGTCACACGATATTATAAACCGGTCAATTTGGGTTGGTTTCGGGTTTTCGGTCAACATGAACCCGACTTGATTTTACACAAACGGGTCGGAATTACAAACCTGACCCCGATTCATATGACAAACGGGTTAATCTGAACCCAAAATTTTCTGGGCCGGGTTCGGATCAGGTTTCTGGTCGTGTCAGAATTTTGACACCCCTACCCCAGCTCTTCTAGATTTTCCCTCGAGTAAGAACACGTTCGGCATCCAAAGATTTAAGAAACTTAGCGAAATTATTTTGTCGCCACAAAGTAAAGATTTTAAATAATTTCTAGCAGTAAGGATTTTCGCGAAGCTCAAAGAGGTTTATATTATAAACCGTAGAATTTTCCATTTACTTGTTATTACATGTTGAGTTTATCTGTTTTAGCAATATCATTAAGACAGGAGTGCAGTAGTAACTTTAACATCTACTTCTTAATGGAATAATGGTTATTAATACAGTTTTCTAAATAAAGATTTTATTTGGGATAATTTTTTTACTGTTTCTTAAATTAAAATTTTTAGTGAGAAATTACAATTAGAAACTTTTAAAAAAAATCGTCTCATTCAAACGAGACTTCTTTCTTCTTCTTCTTAAAAAAGCTGTTTAGTACAAAATTAAAAATTTTTGTATTGAAAAATCGCTTTAAGAAGAAGAAAACAGTTATCCCAAATGAAGCCTAATAGTGAACATATAAATTTAGATCTGCTTTTCTATATTAGTTTTTGGTTAGATCAGGAAAATATCTGCTATTTCCATTAAGAAGAGAATTGCCATGTGGAGAAGTTCAATTTTATTCTACGAGTTTTCTCGGATTATTTTATATGAAATTTAGCGATGGCAATATACAGATTATAAATTACGGGAGAAATAGTTTAAAGTTTTTATATTTATGTAGTTGCAGAAGAATCTTTAAATAAAGTTTACGTGATATGTGCAGTTATATAATTTTCTTTAATTCATTTAAAACTAATTATTAATAGTTAAACTGAGCGTAAAAAGTTTCTTATATAATTTTTTATATTTAATAAAAAGTATTTAACAAGAAATACTTCAACATTCTTAAGGTTTTTTTTTTTTTTCTTAAATGGAGAAGTATTTCTTGTTATCTACAAAATAATTTATTAATTATATCAAAATAAGCTTTGAAATCCTTATATATTATTTTGAAATTAATATTTTATATAACTAATTTATATTATATTAATCTCAAAATTAATGATTTCAAATCTATTTGCCTAAACCCTTTGTCCTCACGTTGCGTCCATATTTTACAAGTTCACCATCAAGCTCCATCAAAGCATTGGGACATGATTAGAATGAAAATGATGAACACAGGGAAGAAAGAAAAAATAAAAAAAATGGTCATCAATATACAAAAGAAACGAGCCATGTACTAGCATAGATTATCCATAGCTGAGAATACCAGAAGTTCTAATGTCTCATTAAACTAACAGTAATGTAAACAGATCAAGCATGACTGTGATCTGAAGCAAACCAAAAAAAAAAACCCCATAGCGTAAATATTTCTGTAATCATCAAATCAATCATAACTAGCATTCAAAAACTTGAGCAACTCATTGCGATTGGTTTCTGCCTTCTTATCCTCCTTTGATTTCTCAAGCTTTAATAGAATCTAGAGAAAGGGAACAAAACTCTCGAGTAATTGGAGATGAATTTGAAGTAATAAGGCTTTGTTTTGGGATAATTTTTTTATGGCTTTTAAAGCAGCTCGTTTGAAGAAACAGTAAAAAAATCATTCCAAATGAAACCGAAAAGATCAATTCAAACGTAGGTAGATACTCACCTTTTTACCAGAAACAGCGCTGCGACGAACGCTATCATCCTTGTCACGCCCAAGGAGCTGAAGAAAACAGAAAATAAAAACATTAGAACATTAATGGAAAAAAAACTATAAAAAAAAATCGAATTGAACGGTTTAATAGATATAGGCTTCGTTTGGGATGGCTTTCTTACTGCTTCTTTAAGCAACTTTCTAGTAAAAACTTTAATATTTGAACTAAGAAGTCTCTTTAAGAAGCAGTAAGAAAGTCGTCCCAAATGAAACCATGAAGTAACCTTTGAAAGCTGAACCGGGCTGCCACTCCGCTCAGACTGCTGCTTCTGTAGACAGCCCTCAAAGCCCATAATGACATCCAGCAAGCAAGTTCAAAGTCCATTTACCCCGGATACAGATACCAGCTCCAACGTCGAAGAGCCAACCCACAAAAAAGGAGGTAGTAAATAATGTGAGGACACTAAACACAATAAATTAAAAAATTGCATTCAAGTTATTAAATCACAATGAAGATTCACAGGTTTTGGACATAACGTGAAATGCATTATTGTAAAAGTTGAAACACGTCGTTATGCCTCAATAGTATGTTAGACTGGTCCAGACGGTCCAAAGGGATTGGCCTACGAACAAACAGAGGCGGAACTCTCCGACTCTTGCATATGCTGCGCGATCCGACGCGCAGACAGAGCGGTTTAGGAAGGTTTATTGAAGGGAGTTAGGAGGAAAATTTGAATGTAGGGACTTTAGAGATTTTATTTTGGATTGTATGCATTAAATTATTTATTTTTCTAGAGTTATGACATCTTGAATTTGGCTTAGGTTCATGTTTTTGGGCTCTAGCGGCGTCTAGAGATTTGGGAGAGTAGATCCTCCTCTCTAATAGAGGATCAATTGTATCTTGTTATTTTTCTTCCGTTAGTTTTGATTATTGCAACAAAATTACTATTTTTCTAATTTTTTCTTTGGATTTGTGGATCGTTCTCACTGATTTCATCAAAATAATTAGGTTTTACTTGGGAAAGTATTTCCTAACATAGTAATTTCCTTTTTAACTCATTGCAAAAGAAAACATAATCGCCTTCCAGTTAAAAAAAAAAAATCCATTTTGAATCGCCCAACTTATCTTTTAAGGTTTTACGTAACTGTCATAAGAATAAAGGCACCTCGATTCTCAGTAAGGTTTTGTTTTCTTCGCATAGACCTCATGTATGAACTTTCTTACTATGTTAGACGATATTATTGATTGAACAATATTCTTATTCTAGGTATTAACTCGTATTAAACTACTTCTGAAATCGAACTCATCAACATAATCATAACTCATGTTTAATCATCTTCTTCTTTACTACATGCATCATAACAGTTTCCTTATAAGACATTCTCTAACACCACGACCCATGTTGAAGGCAAGATAGCAAACTGTGCTACAAATAGGGCATTTATTAGAAAATTGATATCTTTCACAAAATAGTAGCACTTGTAAACAATCGCTCCCTAATCTGTTGCATCCTCTAGAGAAGAGCATTGCCAATTCTGATGGATTACTCTTGACTTGAGAACGTTAATAACTTAATATTATTTCTCCAACTGCTGTGGCCTTCCTTCACACTGCCTCTTCGTTAGTTCTCATTTCCTTAAAAAGAGCTTTACCCACCATCTCTATGTAAATAAAGAGAACTGAGAACATACCCATTAAATGCCTCTAAGTTCCTTCACTCTCATCAAGATAACTTGCCTTATGTTCCCTCAACTCTCACTGAACAATGTATAAAGCAGCTTGCCCCTTTGCTTGACGTGTGCAAATTCTGCAAACCAAACTTGCTAGCCAGCTTATGCAGTTCCACTTTTCCAGAGCATGTTCAACTGTTTTGCCAGGGGACTAGTAAAAACCAACTCAGTTTTCCTCAATCTTACAATGCTATAAATGTTTCAATTCTCCTTAACCCTATTTCATCCTCCTTGCCAGAGCCACAACACCAGAAAACACCACCAGTACTCATCTTCCAGCTTTAGTTTGTATTTTCGAAGGATTTCTCTTTTGTTTTCTTGATTTTATAAGTTCTTTTAGCCTTTAAAAAATATCTGATCTAACCATTCTTGAAAAAAATCACTTTCTTTGTGCTGTATTTCATAGATATACTTAAGATCTGTATGTCTGAATCTTTTTCATCTAGACTTTTAACACTTGTGCTAGTTTGAGCAATGAAGTTTCATATTTTAGTTATTTATATGGTTATGTTTAATGTTGAGAAAACACATTAGTTTTTATTCTAGCAATACATTTATGAAAGTGCCTGGATTATCAAGAATGGCATGTTTAAAATATATTTAAAACAAAATCAATTTCGTAAGAATGAACTTATTCATGTGAGCTCCAACAAGAATAAGGGCAAACAACAAATCATTTTTAGAATTTATAAACAACATCATGAAAAGTAGATTATCAAACAATAGTAACTAATTCAACCACAACTTTTCTACAATAAATTTATAATTGACTTCACGGATAACAAGATCTATCCCAAACAGAACCTTCGATGCATTCTCTACACATTACATTTAGCTTTAAACTCAGAAAGCCAAATGTAAAGTTGAAAAAATAAAGACCAATAACATAGAAGATAAACATAATAGAAAAAAAGTTTTGTACCTTTTTAGCTGGTTTGTTATCATGTTTGTGCTTGCGACTTCTGCTTCTATCCTTCTCCTTGATCTAATAAGTTATAATTCAAAATATAAAAGGTTAGTTAATACATTTTAAAGATACCATGGACAAGCATGATGCAAATATTTGAAGTAAAAAATCATGAGGTAATTTGAGCTCACCTTTTTCACTTTGTCCCCATGTTTTTGCTTCCTTGAATGGCTTGATTCCACATGACTGCTATCTAACGAGCTCTCACTACATATTAAAGAATGCACATAATCAATAATTCATCATGACCTTGTGAAAGAAATCAGCCAAGAAATTTCTTAACATGAAGAAATATGCCATGCACGGATTAAATAAGGATAATTGGTATCAAAGTTCAACATGAAATCTAATAATAATAATAATAATAATAATAATAATAGTAATTTTTTGAAGAACTTCAATTTCGATCCATGCTACATATACCTTGTTTCCTTTCTACTTATAAAGATTTATACAAATACATATTTCATGTCAACTATTATGACATGTGTATCCAAGTTTTAAATAAGATATGGACCTTTATAATTTTTACAAGGCAACTCTCAAAATTCACGGTAGCAAAGAAATGAAAAAAAAGGAATAAAAAGTCAAGAAAATGGAATTTCCTCAAACGCAATAAATAAACCACGATAAATGAGTTGCTGATAAAATTACAATGGATATAATAAAAACTTTAAAAATAGAAAAAACAACTGTTACCTAACAAAACAAAAACACACCAGCTATTTATAAAAAAGAAGAATAAAATCTACAGAAGTTTTAATTTATAAGAGTTAAAGAAAAAATAGATGGTTTTGATTAATCCAAGTGGCTACAGAGAGTATAACAATCATGTATGCAGCGTACCACCATTGCATAGCAAGTTAGATTACATGGGGACACAATACAAGCTTTAGCACCTTTTTCTCTCACCCACTCTGCATGCATAGGATCAGCCAAAGAAAAAACAAGAAGTTCAAAGAGGAAGAATTTAAAGTACAGCTTATGAATACAAGGAGTAATTAAAAATTGCAGAATCCACCGCCACTATGATAAACTGGTAATCAACTGTAACAAAGAGAGGAAAACCTAAAAGGAGGAATATTTTTCTTTGATTTAAAATTCAAGTAATCTTGTATTTTCTCTTGCTTAGAAATAGTAGCTTTTATCAGGCCTTAGGAAAATAATCAAAAAGTGCAAAGAAATTCATCCAAAAAAAAAAAAAATCAAAGCTGCCGGGTCTAGTTTGCCACTTCTAGACTGCACCTCTCTTAGGGCAATCTCTCTCATTCCTCTCTTTTTGACAACTAAAAGCTTCTTCCTAGCCCTTTGGCCGAGCCCTTGCAAAGGGGATACCTGTGTTATTATTGAGCTTGCAAGGATCCACTAGACCTTATTTATCGACACAATGAACGAATTCCAACCTAAGGGGCTGTTTGGTATCGGATTTATAGCGGGATTTAAGTTGGATTTACGCTAAAATCCAGCCAAACTGTTTTTGTGTGCGCGTTAAATCCCGGATTTACGGATTTACGGCTTAAATCCGGGATTTAGTAAATCCATCGGGTAGCCGGATTTAACGGGATTTAAAGTCGAAGCTGAAATGTTACCCGCGGCGCCCGTGTCGTCAACTGCGCAGCTTCGCCCTATTTCTACAAATGAACGCAGACGTTCATTCCCCTAGCTTCCTCAACCTCGCGATTTTTTCTTCTCATAATCGTTAAGCTACTTCGCTGCGTCAGGCTTAGGCGTCAGGTAGCGAATTTCCTTCCTTTCCTTGTTGTGCAGAACACAGTTAGCTAGTTTTTTTTTTCCGCAATGAATTTTTTCTCTTATTTTTGTGTGTAATGCAATGAGATGCTTGTACTAGTTTGAAAATTATATTGTGCATGTTGCAAAATAGGTAAAAATTAAAAATGATGAATATATTGAATTTTCGTTGTTAGCATTTCTTCTCAACATGAACATAGTGGTGAATTATTGTTATTTTTTTGACTACCTCAAGCATTGTATTTAATTTATTTTGTAAAAATCACTATGCTAGGTTAATTGTAGTATTCCATTGTCATATGATATTTGCTGTGTTAACGCGACAAACTATTCTTTGGTAGTACAATGGTTAGGGTAAATTAATTCAGAATGAAGCGAATCTTTAACACCAGGTTTGACAAAGATAACGTTGAATCGGTGAGCGACAACGAGTCATCTAATGCCATCTATCTCAAAAAATATGGGTTCACTCTTGATTGCAGAGTTTGCGAAGCAAGAACGTGTATTCCTCGTGAAAAGCATATATTTTATAATTACTCCTTGTATTTCTTTATTTAGAATTGCAAGTCAAAGAAATCGATCGGCGTGAGAAAATTCATTTCGAAATTCTACATATATGAAGTCATGAAATCTTCTTTGTTTTTTGGCTAATATTATTTTGGCATTTCCTGTATTTGAAATTTGTTTAATTTTTTTTTTTACACAATTAAAGTTTCATTAATTAAAATTTGTTTAATATTGTATGAACTCAAACTAGTGGTATTATGTTTTATGCAATGAACTTGATTACAGAAAAATCTCCATCAATTTTAAATCCCTAACTGCCAATGATCCTTAAAAATGTTACCAAACAGTTTATGAGGATTTAACTGGATTTATCACTTGACATACCAAACAATTTTTAGGATTTAATCATTTCAGGATTTACTAAATCCAGATTTACAGGATTTAATAAATCCCACTTGTTGCCATACAGCCCCTAAAGAACCTACGGCTGTCTAAGAAACAAGGTTAAACAGCCTTTGGCATGGGAATGGCCACTAAACCCTTTTCTCCCGGATTGATGTAAAATTCACCCAAAAAAAAATGACAAACTAAACTCAATCTTGGAACCTTGACACAAACGCAGAGAAATTAGTTAAGATCTCAGCCCAGCCATATCTTTTGACTAGATTAATTGATAAAATAAGAAATGCGAGAAAAGAGTGATTTGTTATCAAAGGGGCCTGAGGCAACAACAGAACACGAATAGAAACAGAATATTTTCTACCTTCCATCAGATCAGAATTTCACAGAATCCATCACGAAGAACGTCCCAAACTAATAACCTACTCCAACATATGCCCTATGCATAAAACAATCATAGAAGGAGAGAAATTAAAATTGAGGAAACTCGCCTGCAAGTATCGGAGTTGGAAGAAGAAGAATCATGGGAAGAACGGTGCTTCCGCCTCCTCCTCGTCCGCGTCCGATGTCTCTTGCGGACCTTGAGATCGTCCTTCTCCAATAGCCGGCGCGGACGGCGGCGGTGATCGCGTCTCGACGAGGATGAGGAATCCGTCGAGGAAGAGTACGAATCGGTAGACGATACCGATGCCACCATAGCGGCAGGTGAAGAGAACTCAGAGAGAACAGAAGTAAAAACTGGAATGCCCGACCCTTACTAATGTGCGTGTGTTAAATAGGTTAAGATGATGACTTAGGGCATCTCCAACTGAAAAATTCATTTTTTTTTTTATTTCAAAATATAATAATTTATTTTTAATTAAATTTTATATTTTAACATCAAAATAAGAATATTCTATGTATATTCTTTCTTATTTATTTATTTATTTATTTCTTAACATAAAATATTGACGTCGGTGGTCAATGTTTACATCGCACTACTCACATACCTAATTTTGACATACGATTTAGCGTTCAAATGGAGCGAATAGCGGACGTCATACCACCACATGCAATTCGACTGGCGATAGTCTTATGTGGCTCTCATTGCGAATATCAACCCTAGCTCAAAATTCTATAATTGACATGTCATATGCACTTTGATTTAGTGTCTAGCCAAATTGTGATTATTTCATTATATCATGAAAGCCTCATATGTTCTATATAATAGCATAAATATGAGCTCCACTTACACCCACCGTCATACCAGAACACATTGCATATATATCATAAGGCTCAAATTTGTGGAACAAGGTTATGGAGCATCTACAATAATTAAGACCAAGACTCATTTGACTCAGCCTCCACAATAGCAAATGTAAGAGCCTATAGTCCACCGTTCCTATCAATGCCCACAGTGGCAAGTAGAGTCCCTTTGTATTTGCCCAATAAAAATGTCTCAAGCAAAGCACCGGGCAACAGAATTGCCATCCCTCGATCGTTGGACTGAATGCCCAGAATTGTTATTTGAAGCGATTATTTTCAATAACTTGTATGTTGTGAAGTGATCATGGAAGTGCAATTTTAATGGCTTCCATGTAACGGTGTAATGAGTAGTATGAGTCCTCAAAACTACTGAAGATTGATTTCATAGCCTTCCTCCATGCATCCCAAGCATTAATGTAAGGAATCTTAATGTCAAACTTTGACTCCATCCGAGCAATGATTTCATGTGGCTTCATATTTATTTGTTGTCGAAGAATGGCCAGTGATGTAGTTAAAAATAAACTTGGACTTGCAATTACGATGGCCAGTTATCATGATATGATTCATGCAAGTATGTGGAAGACCACTAGATGAGGCTTTTTATATACCACCAAGTCGCTTTCTTTTTGCAGCATGTAAATGCCATAAACATGGATGGGAGAGGTTATCATGTTGTGTACACCTAAGTGTAAGTCTTGTCTTTATTAGATGTGCTTTTGATGTGCTCCACATTATTAATGATTGACCACCCATTAAGTGCATATTGAAGGGCGTTCTTACTGCTAAAAGTTATCCTTTTACAATTGTTATGGAATGATGCCATCTAATTCCCAAACAAAATTTATAGTTGGGGCATCGACTGCATCGGTACAATCCCACTCCTATGTTGAGCATATCGTTTAACATATTCATTATTTGCCACAATAGCTCCTAACTCAGGTATGTTACGAAAATCATGCTCACGGACCGACTCATGCCCAAGTAATGAGACATCATAGTCTTCTGCAGTTGGATTTCTTTCATCCCCTATGGGGGTTTCACTCGAGCTTTCACTAGTTCTGCTATCCATCGTCTTATATTCTTCAACAATAGGTTCGCGTTCAACATCATTTCCCTGGTGGAAATGTTGTGTTTGTTGGTGGAGCTCAAACATCGGTACGCCTGAAGACGTCTGATCACTAATACTTGCACGCCTCTCGCATATTGTTCAAACAATGATGGACACTCACTTAGACTTAAATGGCCTACACACATTGGTGCATGTTGTACTGAACGTTCACTAACGCTAAAGTGGCTACTGTCATGTGCAATAGCGGGGCTGTGCAGTGGGTCTGCAACACATAGTACAATGTAATGGTAATGTTTAAATTCAAACTCATCAATTTGGTAGGACTATAATCTACATCGAGTTCAAATTAGGTGCGCACAAACCTGTCAAGTTGGGAAGAGGGTGACGGGTCATTATAACCCATCTGATTAGGAGCACCAAGGCTTATGGCACATCTTTGCAGTTGTGAATTTGAACATAAATAATCAAAATGCGCATTCGAGTTTCATTAACCGTGACTTGAATTGGTGTGTATCCTTCGTTATTTGGAAGACAACATACAAGTTCAATACTGCATGTCTCACTATCATGGTGCAATGCTCGAAGAATTCTTACATTTAACTATACAAGTGTAGGATTCTCATTTATTTCGATTGGACGGGTCCTTCCACCGCTGTTTAAAGGGATGAAATTCTTCGTAACATTCAAGTCACCATCATAATATATAATGAAACGTAACATTATATGTGATGTGATTTTTGTATCCTCAAAAAAAAAAAAAAAAAAAAAAAAAAAAACACACAAACACACACACAAGTGCTCATGTCAATTAACAAATCATTTAAATATTTATGTTATGAATTATAGAATAAACATATTCAATGTTATACAAAATTAAAACTTAGATAATTAAAATAGTTTTGAGACAACAAATTTAATAAAATCCATTTTCAGCAGAAAATAAATAAACTATTTCTCTTATGCATGCTCTTCCAATTATTAGTTTTCTGCCGTCAATCCGACCTTAAATAATTTAATTTTTCTAATAACTAAAGTACTTTTACTTTTATAACAATTAATAAATAAATTAACTTTATAAATATTCATAACTTAATAAGTAGATATTCATAGATTAATTACAATTATAATAACTAAATTACAATTAATATTCATAACTTACTAACTAAATTACTTTTACTTTCATGATAATTAATAACTAAATTATATTTATAAAAAAACATTAATATTTAGATATAAATTACTTTTACAACTATTAAATATTTTTTGAAATTAATGAGTCTCCTACTTAATTGATTTGGTTGGCTCTACTGGCAGTTTGTTCATCTGCATGCACGTAATTTCAGAGGAAAGAAAAATAAAAAAGTCAGTGAGATTGGGGAAATTATTGGGTTCGGACACCGGACATAGCTTACTGTTCGGTACTTCAACCGTACCAAGCATACTGAGCTCGGTACTAAACAGTACTGAGCACGGTACTGCTTGGTACTACTCAGTACCGAGTAAAGGGTGACGTGGCACATTTTCATTTGCTCCGGACGGCGTCCGCTGTCCAAACCCAATAATTTCCCCAGTGATTGAGTATATAGATAATATAATTGCAAGATGAATAAAAAAGTACATTTTAACCTACAAGTTTCAGCATCTACTCATATATTTCCAGAAAAGTATAGATAATGTAGTTGCAAGATGAATAAAAGAGCAGGCTTAGCTTGTGATGAAATTTTCCAAAATGGCGGTTCTTGTAATAAAACCTTCTGTATAGAGAAAGGCCAAAACTGCAAAGGCTGTTGCTACTGTCGTCAACAAGAAAAAATAACCGTTAGGATAGCCCATGAACATGTATTCTGTTCTCTTTACTTTCTTCGTTGCTATCCTTTGTTGCTTTTCTTTACTTGACAAAGTATTTTCATCGCCATCTACTTTGCGTTGGTGCTTCTCATCCACATCAATCAATCCTGTCTTTGTATCTTGCTTAACTGTTTGGGCCACTATCTTCTTTACTCCCTTCTCTACCAGATCAAAAGAAAGCTTTAAAATTTGTTCTTCTTCTTTGATTTGAGCGACTGATTCTTTGTGAATTTCAGCTTCTTCTTTCTTATCTGCTGGTAAAGTTTGTGGGCATTCAATTTCCCTCTCCAATTTATCTTTGGGAGCTTCAAGTTCATGGTATTGAACTGAAACGGAATCATCTTCTATCTCCTCTACTTCTTCATCTGGAGAAATTTCCGAATCTTCGGCACCAGCTTCGATATGGGATTCCTCTATTTCAAGAGCCTTCTCAGATTTGCTGAGGTTATTATCCTGAAAATGGAGAAAAAGTTAAGAAAGTACTTACTGGATACTTTGCTGAAGAAAAAACTGCTCTCAGAGATCATAACAAAAAAAAAAATTACCTGGATTGGTTGAACTATTATCATATTTGGTTCTATGGAAAGAGGGAATCTATCGTCTAAACATGCTTTCGCTTCTCTTACAATTGGCTCTATTCCCTGGAACTGAATCAGTGGATTTTCTTTGTATGCCATCAGATTATAATGCTCCAAGGAGAATTCGACTCTTTGGGATTCCGTTAAGGGGCATTCTTCATTTTCTCTAAGTTTCTCTTCAGCTTCAGATGATTCCACATTTTCTTTGAATCCATTCAACAGGTTTTCTTCTGTCTTCCCTTCTTGAATAACATCATTAAGGTCACAAGTAGTATTTTCTTCCAACTGAGTTTTCTCTTCTACCACTATAATCATTGCAGGGTTCTCATGAGTGCAGCTCTGGAGGAGGAAAAACTGAAAACATAAGGACTAGCAAATTAAGTGTCCTTTTGAGGTGGCTACAATTTCGGTAAAAGTTAGTAAATTACTATGGAAAAAATATATTTTTATGAAAGCTGACGTACGTATTAGATTTTTTTCCTCTTATTATTATTATTTTTTACATTTATCACACTTTGATAGATCTATTTTTAAATTTTTATTAAATATAATAAAAAAATTATAGCCAAACAGAATTATGATAGGCTGATAGCTATTTGAAAAGCAAAACTGTGAAGAAATTATTAGCATACTAAGCATATATTTGTATTTAATTATGTTACCTAGTCTATATTACGGTTTTACCTTATGTAACCTCTATATAAAGAGGCTTGTATCTACGGTATGATTATTCAATACAATTCATTTTTCTATTTCTCTGTTACGGTCAGACTTCTCCTTCTTCATCCTTCAACTTCTTCTTCTTCCCTTTCTTGAAACTATCCTCTCATGGTATTCTAACAAAAGGACAAATTTTTGGGGAGCAAGTTGAACTAGATGATCTAAATATTCAACAGTACAGCTCTAAAGGAGGAAAAACTGTGAAGGTTAGTACTTCAAAAAATAAAATTTTGGGGGATAGACTAGAATATAACGAGTTGAATATTCTTAATGGCAGATACCTCAGTTGGCGAAGCTTCTTTCTTTAATGATGATCCAAAAGGAGGTTGTGTTTTCCCTTGAATTTCATCCATGAATCCATCAACCCCTTCATCAGCATAAGCGTAGTTACTTTCTTCTACCCCCATTTTGTCTTCTTCAGTATGTGTAACACCATTAATATGAGATATCAATTGAAAATCCTCTTCAGTTTCAGATGATTCCACATTTTCTTTGAGTCCGTTTAACAGGTTTTCTTCTGTTTTCTCTTCCTGAATAACATCATTAAGGTCACAAATACTATTATCTTCCAACTGGTTCTTCTCTTCTACTGCCACAATCAGCTGTGGAGTAAAAACTTTAAGGGAAGTACTTCTAAAATAGTTATTTCGGGACAAGTTAGATTAGATGAGCTGAATATTCATTAGTGCAAACTATAGAGGTTAGTACTTCACACAATTTTTAGGGGACAGAGCAGATTATAAATGAGTTGAATATTCTCCATGGAAGATACCTCAGTTCCTTGAATTTCATCGATCAACCCCTCAACCCCTTCAACAGCTGAAGGGTGGTTAATTACTTCTACCCCCTTTTTATCTTCTTCAATATGCATAATACCATTACTATGATCTATCAATTGAAAATCCTCTTTAGCCTTGATCATAACCAAGTCGTTGCAACTGCTCATCTGAAGAAGAGAAATAAGGATGAATTTGACATATATAAAGCAATGTGAAAAGCAAATTCAGAGATTGGTTTTCTGCCTCTACACTGCTTACCTTAGGTTCTGTAATTGCAGTGAAACTTGATTCATGGGAAAGGGCTACAGTTTGCTCACATAAATCTCTTGACCCCTCTACCATTTTCCCATCAGATTCGTCTCTTTCCTCATTGCCTTGTTGAACAAGTAAAATATCTAGTCTCTCATCATCTTCAAAGCCACCACTCTCCTTTCTACTTCCGTCTTCCATTATCACCATTTCAGGGTGTTTGCTTGAATCATTCTTGAAAAGGAGAAACACACTACATGACATTTGATCTACTTTTTGAAAATTAAGAAATAACTGATTAATAAATCCGTTGTAATGTTGAAGTTTCATTTAAGACGCTCATATGCAAGATACCTGTGTTATATCCAACGCCTTCTTTGCTTCCTCACTCTCTTCAAAAAATGATTCTCTTTCCTCCATTAATTGATTCATTTCATCTTGATCGCCAGGAGGGCTTGTTGCCAGTTCTTTGGCTCTGGAAACAACAAATTCTAGGATGGAATTGTACATTTCATCCTTAAAACCATCTCCAAAGTTTCTTTCTTCTATTGCTATAACCATTTCCGAATTTTGGGAAATTTTCTTCTGCAAGATAATTTTTGTAATAGTCATTCAATAAGGTGAACGATATTGCATCCAGTGTATCCTTATGCCGATAAAAAATATATGATGAAAAACTAGAAGATATAGAGAGCACTGCAGATAGTTTTGCCCTTTGTTAGATATTTTTTTGGTACAAGAAAAGACATAGCATCTCAGCTTATTTAGATACAACATGGGATGGTTTGGTGCTCTCTACAATTAATAAAGTTACCTGATGCCTTATTTTCTTGACGTAAATAAGGAAATAAGGACTGTATGGGCTAAAAGCTCGTAGGGTAAAAGTAAGCTTTTTTTGAGGAAATCAAATTTTATGTGCATTTGAATGAGTGCTGTGTAAGAGTTTATTAATTGTAGAGATGTGAGCTAAGGTCAAGGTTGACACTTGACGAAGAGTTGCAATGTTTGATAAATTTGCCACATGCTTGGTATCCTCCTCCCACTTCAAAGTAGCTTGAGGATATTGATGATTGGGAGGAAATAATAAATGACATTGAAAAGGAATAATCACTCATCAACTATATAGATGTAGTCATCAATTAAATTATTTTTATTTTATATGAACTTATATAAATTCTAATTGTTATGAACTTAAATTTTGGACAATATTATGAGTTTATTATTTTAGTATAACAATAATGACAACAACAACAACATCAAATATTTATTCCCTACGTGGGGTCAGCTATATGAATCCTCCTTCATTGTGTCCCTGTTAAGAGTCAAATTCTCCTGTAAATCAAATAAAAATGTCATTTATAATATTTTCAAACTAAGTCTGTTTAGGGTTTACCTCTACCTTTCTTAGTATACGCCAAATCTAATACTTCTACTCTCCTAACCAGGTAATCGGAAAGCTAACATTTTATGTGACCAAACCATCTAAGACAACTTTCTCTAATCTTATTTGCCACTGATGCTACTCAAACTTTTACTGAATAGAAAATATTGGAATACCATTTTGATAGTGTGTATGTATATTTTATTTATATTGTATTATTGCACAGAAGAAATATCAATGAGAATGAGCAATTCACTAGTTATAAAGCTAGATGTTAATGATGGATTTCTCATTAGAAATCCGGACATGCCAAGATTTATAGCGGCTCATAGGAAATTGATGTGCGTCAGGTCATCTGTGGATTGCAAAGGCTGAATAATTCATCAGTATTTTTATATTAACAATAGATATTTTTTATGGCATTTTCAAATGGAATTATTCAACATTGACTTGAGATCATTAATTTCATTCTTGTCCCCCTAAAACATCCACTGTTACTTTTTTTGGCACAAAAATAGTCGTTGGAAAGCTTTTCTAACATTCCTTTTGTCATCAAATTTTTTTGGCCAACACTCAAACAATTTATTAGAAAAATTTTTATGGGTTTATGGCCAATTCTACCATGAAAAATTAAGTGATGCGGACTCACTTTATCTTATTCTACTTTGCAGGCTTATTTCCTTCTTCCACGTTCTCAACCTTTATTGTTTTTACAACTACTTAGTATTTCTCTGCTTTTATAACTAACTATACGACATATAGTACATAATATACTTTTTTATTACTTTTACTGCATTTAGAATTATCAGATATCCTTGACAGAGGAAAATACATATAGCAACTGTAATGGACGGAGGACATCTTGAATATTATTACTAAAAACCAGTTACTTAGTATTCTCTTGTTCTGTTATCTTCTTTCCCTATTGCATTGCTACCAGGTATCAGAGCCAACTGGGAGCATATGGCAAAAAGCAGTAGACAACACGCTCCTGAAGACGATCGGCATGTGGATGCTCGTGTGGATGCTCCATGGACGGTGCAATCCAGGATCATAAGACAACCAGATGAACTCACAGTTGAGTTCCGCCGATTTTCCACAGAAATGTGTGATGATTCACAAAAGCGCAAGGCATATAGCGGCAACCATCAAACACCTGAACCGGCAGTATTACCGACCCACAGAATGGCTCATCATCGAGGGCTCAATGGCGGAAGACCACTGGTTCACTTACCTGAAATTTCTGATTTTGATGATGAGGCCGAACTTCCACATCAAGGAGATGGTTCCGATTTTGCAAAAGGAGAAATCCCACAATATCATAATCCACGCCATAGATTTGGTGGACTGCCAAGGCCGCAATGGGATTTTTGCATCAAAATGGACATTCCATTTTTTGACGGAAGGTTACACGTAGAAGATTATCTTAATGGGGAAAAGGCAGTTGAAATGTTTTTTAAGTACATGGAAATTGCTCCCGATAAACAAGTTAAGTATGTAACTTGTAGATTGAAAGGCGAAGCCAATGCTTGGTGGAAACATGTACTACAGTCCATACACAAAGAAGGAAAAGGGGAGGTGCGGAACTGGTTTCGGATGAAATAATTGCTCAGGGGACACTTTCTACCCACTGACAACGAACAATTGCTTTATATGCAAAATCAACATTGTTCTCAAGGGAATAGAAGTGTTAGTGATTATAAGAAAGAGTTTTATCGATTTAGTGCCAGCAACAATCTCAAAGAATCTAATAACCAAATTATGGCTTGTTACAATGTGGGATTGAAGGTTGCCATTCAAGATAAGCTTGAACTGACTTTCGTTTTGTCGCTATCTCAAGCTGTTAACTTCGCATTGAAGGCTGAAATACAAATCAACTGCTCTTCTCATGGCTATACGATCATACAACTTATGACAACAAAGGCCAAACGTCAACAGTAACTAAACCAACATAAAGTTTAACGCATATGTTGGTCATAATATGCAAGTCGTTGAGAATAAGGCCACAAATAAACCCAAAACAACAGCAAAAGAAAACCTATTTGCCAACCCTACGACATTGAAGTGTTTCGTTGTTTCCAATCGGGTCACAAATCTAATAAATGTCCAAACTGCCAACAATTGCAATTAATGGAAGGTGAATTATAAACCAATGAAGTCATAGCTGAAGGCGAGAATGAGAATGATTTTGAGGAAGTAGCAGGTGACGAGGGGGAGCCTGTGGCATGTGTTTTGCAGAAATTGTTGCCCATGCCCCGACAACATGTGAACTCACAAAGGAATGCCATTTTCAAAACTAAATACACAATTAATGTTAAGGTGTGTAACTTATTAATCGACAATGGTTGCATTAAAAATATAATCTCAAAGTCTGTTGTTCATGCCTTACACCTTAAGACTACAAAAAGTTCAAACCCCTACAAGATCAGTTAGGTGAAAAAGCTTATTGATATCCTTGTATTAGAAATGTGTAGGGTGACTTTTTCCATTGGAAAATATTATGCCTCCGAAGTCTTATGTGACGTCCTTGATATGGACATTTGCCATCTCATTCTCGGACGCCCATGGCAATTCGATACGGGGGTAACATATGATGGGTGTGCCAATGCTTATTCGTTTGAATGGAAGGGACGGAAGCTACGTTTGATTCCCAACTCTCAACCACAACACACTCCTGTGACAACTGCAAGCAATGATCAGGCTGCTCTAAGTGTGATTTCTGGGAACTCTTTGATGCAGTTGTGGCGTGAAAGGAAGGCCCTAATAACTGTCTACATGACTGAAGGGAATTCGGAAACAGAGGCAACAAGTTCTCCACTGGAACTACTCCAGCCGCTCACAGATTTTGCAGATGTTGTATCTATAGATCAACTAGATCAGCTTCCACCTCTTCATTCCATACAGCATCAAATCGACTTCAAACCTGGTGCTTCATTGCCAAATTTGCCACACTACAAAATGAGTCCGATGGAACGTCAAAATTCATAGCAAATTATTGATAAACTTTTACACAAACAAATGATTCAACCTACTCTAAGCCCATGTGTGGTGCCTGTTTTGTTGGTTCCTAAAAAGGATGGGTGTTGAGGTGGATGTGAATTGATACTCGTGGTATCAATAAAATTACCATCAAATATCGATTTTTTTACCAAGATTAGAAGACATGTTAGATTCTTTATCAGGCGCCAAAATATTTTCAAACTTAGATTTGCACAGTGGATAACACCAAATAAGAATCCCATCTGGCAACGAGTGGAAGATTGCCTTTAAGACTCGTAATGGGCTATACGAGTGGAAGGTGATGTTGTTTTGATATGCATCGTCTACATTCTTGTGCTTAATGAACGACGTATTGAAATCACTATTGGTAAGTGTTGTATCGTTTATTTTGATGATATATTGGTTTTTAGCTCATCTATTGCTGACCATTAGAAGCATATGTATGAACTATTTGGATTATTATGTGAGCATGCTTTATATTTAAATAAGTTCAAATGTGAGTTTGCTACAAGTTCAGTTCATTTTTTGGATTTTACCATTTTCGTCGAAGGAATTTGTATGGGTTCCCGCAAGGTTAAATCCATTCAAGATTGGCCTCGCCCTCAAACCTTAATAGAAATCCGTAGCTTCCACGGATTGACCAACTTCTACTAAAGATTTATTTGTAGTTTTAGCATGATTATGGCGCCAATAACAGATTGTTTAAAGTTGATCGAAGACATTTTGGTTGACTGTAGAACAACAAAAAAGTTTTGAAACCGTTAAAAACTCCTTAATGACAGATCTTGATTTAACAATTCCTGATTTCAACAAACCTTTTAATGTGGATACCGACTCATCAACCATTGGTATTGGAGCTGTCATGTCTCAAGAAGGTAAAGCAATTGAGTTGTTTAGTAAAAATTTGAGCCCTGCGAGACAAAACTGGTCGGTTTACGAACAAGAACTATAAGCCATCGTATGAGCTCTCAAGCAATGGGAACATTGTCTACTCCAATATTTTGTTTTGTGCAGTGACCACCAATCCCTGCAATTCCTTAATACACATAAAAATATTAACAAGATGCATGCTAGATGGATCATCTTTCTCCAAAAGTTTAGCTTCATTTTGAAGCACAAATCAGGAAGTAAAAATCGGGTAGCTGATGCATTGGGCCGCAGATCAGCGTTACTCACACAACTACAAATGGAGGTTACAGGATTAGAATCACTCAAGGACCTATATTGCACTGATAAGAATTTTGTCATACCATGAGAGCAATGTCTTCCAAAAAAACCTTATGGAGAATTTACGCTCAGGCACAACTTTCTCTTTAAAGGCAATGCTCTTTGCATTCCTATGTCCTCTTTGAGACATCAATTGATAATGGAAATGAACAGTGGTGGTCTTGCGGCTCACGTGGGATGTGAGAACACAATCGAACAAGTGCAACGTCGTTTTTTTTTTGCCCCATTTGAGGCGTGATGTTATCCGATTTGTGCAGAGATGTCCTATTTGCCAAGTTTATAAAGGAAATAGTCAAAATATAGGACTTTATATGCCGCTATTGTTGACCTCATTTTTGGCACCGGTCAATTGCACTGTCTTTTCACTTGCCCTCGTAGTCTATTTATTTTCATATAGCGTTGTTGTGTTTGTTGAAGGATCAAATCATGCATTTTATCTCGATTTGTCGTCGGCTTTGGGATTTATTCCTTTTGGTCACATATGACCCGTTGTTATGTTTGAAAATATATATGATTAGGTCGACGTCGAGTTGAATATTTTGTGTGTATTTAACCCTTCGCAAGCGTCTTCTTTCCGTGCTTAATTTCTTTTGTTCAGGGCCTCATTTTACAAAACAGATAGCCCTAGTGCGTTCATATTGTCGATATCATTCAAACGAGTCTATTTGCACTCGAATCAGACACCGGTACAAAACTATTTTAATTTCACTCTTTCTATCTTCTCATATTGGGCAATTTTTTTTCTTAATCCAATGGTTGAGATTTAATATCAAAGACAATATTTAATATCAACCGTTTGACGAAGGGTTTGTTTTCGGATTGAATAGAGACATGGCCGATTCAAGGAGAAGAAAACGATTCATTCATTTATCCAGCCGCAAGCCTCGTGACCCATCTGACATGTCCCTTAGACAAGGACAACAAAAAAGGGCGAGACTTTTTTTCTTTTTTTTCATGGCTCAAAAGAAAAAAAAGCCTCACAAAAGGGAAAAGGTATTAGGTCCGGATACCACTTAAAATTTGCCAAATGTGCTGCGCTTTGACTTTTTAGTTGTTTGCTCAAATTGTTTCCTATGAGCGTTAATGGCTTCGTTGGCAGAGATTTGAGCCTTTACTCGATGAATTAGATTCGTAAAAAATGGACCGTATATCGCATGAGTGCTGAGTAGAAGGGGCTAGGACGAAGCCCTCCGAGGAATACACCTCTAAATAACTCGGGATCTATCCCTGGAATTTGCTGGACCTCAGTAAAAAATTATTGGAAATACTCCTTGAGGGACTCATTTTCATTCTAACGAATTCCTGAGAGGTGGGAAGAGTCTCTAATCATCCTTCGATTAGCAACAAATTGTTCGACAAATATTTTGGCTAATTTGACGAACGTTAGAATGGATCTGGCGGGGAGTGAATAAAACTATGTTCGAGCTTGCCCTTTGAGGGTAGCTGGAAAGACTTGGCATAGGAGCACGTTAGAGGCTCGTTGGATGTGCATTATGATCCTATAGTGATCGATATGTTTGTATGGGTCAGATGTCCCGTTGTACAAATCGATACTCGGTAGTTTGAATCTTGCTGGAATAGGGTATTAAGGATGGCTTCAGTCAGGGGTGACAACTCCTGAAAGTCTCGTTGACGAAGAGATTGTCTTATATCTCCAAATGGGAACTCCTCTCGGACTAGTCTTCGTAATTCATGCCGTAGGGCATTGCGGGGGAGTTCGGTGATGTGTTGTTGAGCTAAGTCCTCGGGGACGTCTAGAGGAATGTGATGCTAGTGACCCGCACGCGAAGGATGGGTAGAGCTTGTCGTGTCAGCAAGCTCATTCTCTGGATGTGTTGGAGGGCGCATCCTTGGTGGCGGAAGGGGAATCTCGACATGAAGAACATCTTTGAATCCTGATGGATCTCGAGGGAGAAGAATATCTTCTTGGGGTGCTATTGCCGGTCCTCGAGTCTCTCGCAAGAGTTGAAGGATCTCATTCTGAGACTCCTCAAACTTTCTGATACGATCTTCCAGGGACGGTCCTGAAGTCCTTTCTTCGGCAGGGTTTTGGCCAACGGGATAAAAAGAGGCAGATGTCCGGCGTTCCTGATTCAGGGACTGATTCCGGAATTGATGTGAATTGGAGTGGGAGGCTCCCAAGATACGATTACTGCGCTTGTTGGCCATTACAGTGGTGCTTTTAGGATAGTGCGACTGGCGTTTCCACAGACGGCGCTAAACAGCTGCGGGCTAGAATATATGCGGCGATAGAGTTAGAATACTACGTCTTAGCATTGCACGGATATTCAGCTCACACACAGAGAACACAAGATTTTTACGTGGAAAGCTCTGGAAAGGGGAAAAACCACGGGGCTTGGCTTAGTTGAAAATGATTCCACTAGAACTTGAGTTGGTTACAATGGGCTGACTCGCCTCCAAGGGCGATCAGGTTACAAGTAATAATTGTACGACAAAAGTCCGGGTGTCAGGTGATGGTCCGACAGAACTTCGGGCTTCAGGTGGTGATTTGAAAGAACTTCGGGCCTTAGGTGGTGGTCCGGCGAAGGCGAGAGCCTCAAGTGATGGTCCGGCGAAGGCGAGGGCCTCAGGTGGTGGTCCGGCAAAACTCTGACGGTGGTCGAGGATGAGCTTCTTCCTTCTCTTATTCTTTCTCTTCTCTTCTTGCTTGGATCCCTTTTCAAGAGAAATGAGGGGTCTATTTATAGATTTTTGGAGTGGCATGGCCCGTAAATAAGTGAAAAATCAAGGGTAAATCGAGAGTGGTTGGATGGACGACCAATGATGAATCCATTGATCATGGATTGGTTGATGGACATTTGAATGTCTTAGTGATGTCATATTTTGGTGATCTTAGGCTCGTTGGATTCGTCTCGTCGAGCCGCTCGATTTGACTATAAGCACATTATGTTTGGAAACCATTTGGTAATCCAAATTGTGGTTCAAACCTTCCAATAACGCTTTTAACTCTTGATTTGGACCTGTTTGGGCTCGAATTGGGTTGGATTTGGTGTCGTTGGGTTCGTATTCTCGAGATGCTCAGTTCGACTATAAGTTTGCTGAAATCGGAGTTTGAATGGTCCCAATTTTAATTTCGGAAGTTTACAACTTGATTTTGCATTGAGATTCGTGCCCAATCAAGATAATTTTTTGGATGACATACCAATGATCATCTTATAGAGCAAAAATATAATATACATAGAGGTTAGATATAAGTTAGAAAATTAGATATCAACCATAATTATTGTTGCGTGCTAGAATATATGCGGCGGTAGAGTTTGTAAATTTGCGTCTTAGCGTTGTACGAGTATTCAACACACAAGCAAAAAAGAGAAGTGAACACTAAGGTTTTTACGCGGAAAACCCGAAAGAGGGAAAAAACCACGGGGCCTCGCCCAGTTGCAAAGTTCCACTAGTTTTTGTTTGATGTACAAAGGTTGATCCGTCTTACAAATCAAGACGGTCAATTTACAATCAACTTCTCACAAAGTTACAAAGTTCTGCAAATTCCTGGCGTTTCCCGAAAATCCGGCAGAGTTCCGGCGTCTTCAGGCCGTGGTCGAGGAGGAGCTTCTTCCTTCTCCTCCTTCTTCTCTTCTTCTTCTCTCTCTTCACTTCCCCCCCCCTCTTATGAAGAATGAGGGCTCTGTTTATAGTTTTTCTAGAGT